CCATGATTACAATAGAATCTCTTGTTACACGGTTATCAAACTCATATATATATATATATATATATATATACTAATATGTTATATAATAATTGAGCAATTAGAGTTGGAACCTGAATTAAACAGAGCTTAATTTTTAAAGATGGATGGATTGGAGTTGGGTTAGGGTTGAAGATCTCGTACCTCTAATTGAACCCGAGTTGGGCCTCCAAGCCGCACTTGCATCCCTATTTTGCGTGCTATTGACGGCTGAAATCCTAACAATTGAAAGGAATCAGACACAGTATTCAATTTCAGTAGCAGTAAAGGTGAAAAGGCTCCCAGTATGTCTTCCATTGGACCCAGAAGATTATTAGCTCGACTCGCTCGGCCAAAAGAGGCAACTCTCTATCATATCATGTCATATATATATATATATATATATATATACATAATTTCAACAGAAACTTTAAACATATATATATATATATATATAGAATTTTTTTTTTTTTTTTGGCCCTTTCTGCACAGCTATTATTCTACCAATTGTAAGGTGTGTTCTAAGAAAAATAGTAGTCTTTTTATTTTATTTTTTATAATTCTAAAAAATATATATAATTCTAAAATAAAAAGACTACTAATTTCAACAGAAACTTTAAACATATATATATATATATATATATAGAATTTTTTTTTTTTTTTTTGGCCCTTTCTGCACAGCTATTATACTACCAATTGTAAAGTGTGTTCTAAGAAAAATAGTAGTCTTTTTATTTTATTTTTTATAATTCTAAAATCTTTTGAAATTTATCACATTAATTTGGTTATCTACATATATTTAAATTGTTTTTGAAGTGCAGTTTTTCTTCTAATGCTTTTAAAAATTGCAGAAGGCTGGAGTGAATTGTATCTCCAAGAAATTTAAGTCCGTTGCTTGTTCAAGTAGAAAAAAGACGACGAGAAGCAGTATGCCTTTTCTTCCTGAAGGGATCATATTGGACATCCTGGTTTTGCTTCCTGCAGAGATTCTACACAATGTGATGAGATATGTTTGCCGAGAATGGTATACTGTTATCAACAGCCCTGAATTCATTAATGCACACCTTCAAAAATCAACTAATTGCCTCCTCATCCAAAACTTTGATCATCCAAAAGAAGTTTATTTTGCGGGTGTCATAAACAATTGTGATGTTCGGATAAGAATAATAAGATACCAGTTCTCTAATGCTATTTGTGCGAGCTGTGATGGTTTAGTTTTGTTCGTGCACGATAGTAAGAATTTTATATTCAGTGTTGCAAATCTTATTACCAACCAAATACTGACCCTCCCTCGGTTATCTGAACCTATTACACACGCTTTTCTTTCTGCTTTGGTACTTGTTCATTCTATCAGGAAATACAAAGTAGTGTTCCTTGACAATGACAGCAATGGTGATTTAATGTGTGAAATATTCACTGTGGGTACTGACACTGCATGGAGACGGATTGATACTAAACATATTCCGAAAACTAATATCGAATTCTTTGATGACCCATTATCTGTTGGAGGGTATCTTTATTGGACCCATGAGTCTGAAGCTTCTAGTTTTCTTCTAGCTTTGGATGTTGAGGATGAAATAATGCACCATCTTCCACTCCCTGAGGACTTCAATGTAAATGGGGATTATTTAACGGTAAGGGAAAACTTTCTAGCTTTGATGGTTCAAACTAACAATTTTTTGTGGGAGGTTTGGGTGTTGACAGAATTAAAAAAAGGAGATTGGCACGATTAAGGGAATACTTCATACTCATAAACGTCCTTCACGTTGGCAATTGTTTCCTCTTGTCTGGCTAAAAAATGGAGAGTTGGTTATATTTGGTGCTTCAGATCCATTGAAAACTTACATTGTTTACAGCATCAAGACGGGAAAAGTAGTTTCTTCATTTACCATTGGAGAAGAAGACAGAGATTGGATGATCTACTACAATGTCCATGTCAACAGCTTGGTTTCGTTGAACGGATGTTAGTTGTCCTTTTCCCTGGTATGCAATTGGGAATTTGCCATCTGCATGCACTTTACCCCATCCTAGGGTTTTCTATTGCTCATCAACATCAAGATAGAAGAGCTAGGGTTAGTTTGCCTATTACAAGTTTGTTTTGTTGGACAGACTTTGACTATTTGCTATTCTTGTCGTTTAAACATTTCATATGATTTTTTTTTTTTTTTTTTTTTTTTTTTTTCGTGGATGATATTTATATTTTATTTTATTTGAATGGAATGGAATGATATATTTATATTTTGAATGCGATGATATAGTTAAAACACCTCTCCTTTTTAGGGTTGATTAATTCTATTATCGAATATCTATGGTTCTTGCAGTACTTCTCATTTACGCTAAATTTGTGTGCGCCACAGTAGGAACCATAGCTTGTCTTTGCTTCAAGTGGTAAACTTACATGAAACCTTTTCCATTAAGATATCTCCATTGCCTCAAACTGAAAACAAAGTATTCCTTAGCTTGGTTACCTTTTATGTGTTTACCTCGATATGGGTAATTATTCTTTCATGAAAAATGGAACGAGTGTAAAATTTCTTTATTGTGATGAAATTAAGGTACCCGGAAATGTTGGTTTGAAGAAACTATGAAGAGACCTTTTGTATAATCTATTCTGGGACCAAAAGTTTAGTTTTAAGGAAAGCTAAATGGTTTTTGGTGAGAGTTGATTTTTCTTTGGCTTTAGACTTGTGTCTTTCTTGTGCTGGTCTATATGGTCTAGGAGGAATGGATGGATTTTCAGGAAAATGCGGAGGTTAGCTTTTTCACATTTTAATGCTTTTCACGAGGCAATGAAATTTTGGACTTCGAATATAAACATCGGATTCCGTCCCTTCTCAACATCTAAACCTGCTTATCAGTGAATGTTGAAGATCAACTTTGACGTTGCATATTTACCCAAAAAAAAAAAAAAAAAACACTTTGACGTTGCATCGTATAATTAATCTCTTCAAGAGAGTGGTAGTGGAATAATAGTCTTGAGAAATTGTATAGGGAAAGTTTTGAAGGTGGTCTGACTCTTCTTTGAAACATGTGAGCAGTGCATTTCTAGCAAAAAAAAAAAAAATTCCAAGAGAAGTTTTGAAACTGCTTCTCACCTAGAGATACAATAGTGTTACTATTGAAGGTGATTGCCAGTCAGCTTTGTGTTTGAAATGGTGGATTGATATGTTTGGCATGTTGCTTTCTTTTCCTTACTTCTGTTTTCAATGGTGTGGAATTAAAAAAAAAAAAAAAACCGAGCCGAACTTTTGTATATACATATATATATATATATCCTGGCTAGGGCTGCAAACGAGCCGAGCCGTTCATGAACTGCTTGGGCTCGGCTCGTGAATTACTCGGCTCAAGCTCGGTTCATTTATAAATGAACCGAGCTCAAGCCGAATTATGAGGCTCGAGTTATAAACGAGCCGAGCCTGAACATCAGTAGGCTCGACTCGTTTGTTCATGAACCATTCACGAACCGAGTACGATAAGGAATTTGCGAACATACTCGATTATAATATATATATATATACATATCCAATTATAATATATAATTTTATGTTATGAAGGCTTAGTCCACGGGCCATTAAATTTTTTTAGTCCTATTTTAAACCCAATTTTATCATTTATTCATTTTAAAACAAAAACCAAGCCCATCTGTACAATTTATGTCTAACCCTAATCATTTTTCCTTTTTCTTAAATTATCAGTAGCCCAAGCAGCAGTGGAAACACAGTCATCAATCTACTTTCTGTCATGGAATCTTACTTCACTCTCTCTTTCTCTTCTTATATTTTATCATCTCATCAAGCAGTAGAGGCAACACACTTATGTATTAATCGTCTTTCAACAAAACTGATTTTTAGTATAGATTTTGGGGTTTACTATTGATTTGTGCATCTCTCAACTTTTTCCATCAAAATCAACTCTGGTAAGTTTAATTTTCGATCAAATTTATCACTTTCTTTCTCTTTTTTTCTTAAACTTCTCTCTTTTTAATGCTGCAAATCTATTTCTCTCTCCTTTTTTTTCTCTTTTTTTTTTTTTTTTTTTTTGGTTCCAGATCTGTTGGATGCGAAATAGCACCAAAAAATAATAATAATAAAATAAACGAGCTATCGAGCTCGGCTCGTGGCTCGGCGAACATAACCGAGCCGAGCTTGAACCAAATTTTTTCGACTCAGCTCATTTGTAGCTCTAATCCTGGCAAACTAGGGGATGGGACCAAGGGCAAATCTAGGAATTATTAATGGGGGCCTAATATTAAAAAAAGGGGGAATTAAGAATCGAAAGATTAAAGAGTCGAAAAATTTTAGAGGAAATAGGGTTAGACTTTAGAGTGAGAGAAGGAGTGAGCTCTCTGATTTGTACAAGATTAGGAATTTAAGAGTTCTCTGTGCTTTGGTTTAGTGATTGTTTAAGGCTTGTATAGATAGGTTAAAATTGAGGGAGGGGGGGGACTACTAATTTTTTTCTTTTTTAAAAGATTGGGCTAAATATACCAAGGGGGGGCTCAAGCCCACCCAAACCCCCCCTTGGATCCGCCACTGGATGGGACTTCAACACGGACGTACCTAATTAGGCCACCAGGTAATGTCCTAAATTTATATTGATGTAAGCAATTTGTTTATTAAAATTGAGGGCAACATTGTACTTTAACAAGAACATCAACAAGTCTAATAGCTTTTTTTATTTATTATTTGTTATTTTTTTAGATAAAGGGTAAGCTATATTAGAAGAAAGAAGAATGTACAGAGAGCCCCCAAGTATGGGGGAACAAAAAGAACCAAAATAATACATCAACAGCACAATGAGAAACCCAGGAAGCTCTAAACCAGAGGTCTATCCACCAAAGGACACCAATGACAATGCTCATACATGCAAAATGAAGTAACTAATTGTGACATAATCCCATCCTTGGAGATTCCTCGAATAGCATCAAATGAGTTAAATTATTCTGGGAGGATCCAAGTGTGACACCCAGCAAAAGTGCAGCCATCCTAGAACATCTTCTGTATATCCTCCAGTGATCCTTTTTGCTTCAGCTTAACTCCACTCTTCAGAACCAGTGATGCAATCCTTGCTCTGATGCAGCTCTTAATGAGATTAATGGTATGAGGAGCATTAGATGTTTTGTTCCTGAAGGCTCTAGCATTTCTTTCAAGCCAAATGTAGTAAACAGCAGCAGAGAGCAATAGTTTGTGAATTGTGTAACCTTCCTTGCTCCAAAGAGATGAACACCAAAGAATTAGTTCTTTCCAACAATCAGGCCTAATGTAGAATCCAGCAACATTTTGAAAGAAATCCCATATTGCTCGACTGAACTTGCACTTGAAGAATAGGTGATCAATTGATTCCCAATCAGAAAGGCAAAGATAACATGCATTAGTGTAATGTTTGTGTAGCATTGGCTTTGTATCAAGAGTGTAAAATCTTTCTCTGACTGCCAACCAGAAAATGTGACTGTGTTTAGGGATGCAATGCTTGAACCAGACTAACTTATGCCAAGTAAAAGACAGTGAGGGTGGACAAAAGTATTCCATAGTGAGTTTATGAGAAAATCCCAGAGGTAAACTTGGAAGCCATTCAGTTGAATCATGAACTAGTGATGGTAGGGGGAGGCTTTGGAGCTGTGTAGTGAAAGATTTAGAGAGGAAAAAGGGAAAAGATTGTAGGGAAGCTGGAATTGTCCATTGTGAGTTGGATATTAGACTATCAACTTTGACACTTGTGTCAAGTTGAAGAATATCCATCACTGATAGGCTCACAAATTGGACCATTTGGCATCCAAAAGTCAATCCACATCCTAGTGTCAATGCCAGCTCCAATCCTGTGTCTGATAACCCCCTAGCCATATCATTTTGCTTCAGTAACTTTCTCTAAAACCCTGAACTGAGAGAGGATGGTTTAAGAGTCCAAAAACTTCTTTTTTTTTTTATGAGGAATTTATAGGTCCAATCAATCCAAAGGCTGCTCTTCCTAGAGCATAACTTCAATATGTGTTTGACACAAGAAACTCTATTAGCAAGGTCAATACAACTGAAACCAAGACCACCATTTAATTTAGGTCTACAAATGGCAGCCCAAGCCACCTTAGCACCACTCTTCTTGAAACCAACTCCAGACCAATAGAAGCATCTTAAAATCTTATTAACCTGTTCAATGACTCTCATACGTAGAATGAAAGCTTAAGACCAATAAATTTGGATGGAGTGAAGAATGGATTTAATCAAGACAGCCCTTCCTGCATAGGAGAGGAATCTTGAGGTCCAAGTTAAGATTCTAGCGGTGATTTTATGGACTAGAGATTGACAGTCTGTGGCATTGATTGCAGAAGAGGTCAAAGATAATCCTAGGTATGTGATTGGTAGAGCCCCAGCACCAAATTTTAGTAGTGAGAGAATGGCTGCTCTTGTATGGCTATCAACTCCAGAGAAGAAAACTTGACTCTTTGCACAATTAATAGGGAGACCAGAGAACTGAAGGAAATTAGTTAGGGCAGAATGTAACACATTGGCAGAGGCAAGATTGCCAAAGGAGAAGAGAAGCAAATCATCAGCAAAAGCAAAGTGGCTAATGTTCAACTCACTACACCTCCAATGGAACTTAAAACAAGAGCTTGATGAAATTGCATTTTCAAGAGACAAGGATAAGACTTCCATAGCAAGAACAAATAGCAAGGGAGAGATGGGGTCACCTTGTCTAACCCCTCTCTTTCCCTTGAAAAAACCAAAGAGCTCCCGATCGAGTTCTAGGAGAGTCGGAGTGATTTTTCATAAACTTTTATAGGTGGGTAATACTGAATCGAAAATAAAATAAAATAAAATTTCAAAACTTAGAATTTACATTTTCAATGAATTTTTGCAGCATCATGTATATTAAAATATTGAGTTACACTTATATTAATTGAATCGAAAAATATAGCAAACTAAGGCTGATTACACAAACAAACATGCGCATTTGTCCTTGTTCTTCTTCCCAAAGTCTTCAAATCGAGATTTTCTCAAAGAGTTCCAGAAAATGAATTTGTGGAATTAAGGTTGACATGTGAATATTAAAGATCTCAAGATTTATTTCGCAAACCCTTGTTGCAGTTGGTCTGAACGGTTCCCTCTTTTTTCTTTTTTATCTATTTCCTTTTTGCAATTTAAGTTGCGAAATAAACTTCTATGATTTTTGACACCAATAACTGAAATGCATTTTGTCAAGTTGTCGCTTAAAATAATTCCGAACTTGAGGAATGAGACTTTTCAAGTTGTGGTGACAAGAGAAGTGTTGAGAATTTTTACGGTACAATACGGGTTTTGTATTGTATTGGAGGACTCATAACACGAAAACATGTGATTGCACACAATGTATATGTGTTCTGAATTGTCAAATGCAATATAGCGCTCACAGGAGTACGTATTGTGAATTGTTTACCACGAGAATCCAGACTCAAGAGAGAAGTAATCCAACGTACATTTGAAATACCAGTATAGTTAACATAGTACAGTAGTTAACAATTTCACATCAATAATTCTAGTTACTAAAATCTTCTAGAAGTGTTACCAAAATTCAACCTAGGTTTGAGTGAGAAGAGCCTTCTAGACTTCTGTTTTTTAGGAATTTAACTTTTTAAGGGAGTAATTTTTATTTTTTTAACTATAGTAGTAAGGAACTGATTGTCAAATATATTTGAAATGAGGGTAAATTAAGAACATTAAAAAAGTAGAGCATTTGAATTTGAATTGGGGACAATTATTTTGGGAAAACAAAAAGTGAAAAGATGGACATTTTTTTGACATTTTTTGTGGAATGAAGGGAGTAAGAAATCAATCAGTCCTTTGATACATAGAATCAATTTAAGTAATAGTGATATGTGGGACGTGTTTGGTCTGTTCACGTACGTATTGTGTACAGACGACCATGATGTCCCCGTATACAATGCACCGAGCACAACGAATACCTTCTCCCAGATAAGAAAGCATCTTAGATGTTTTTATGTAATAATCATTTTTATCCCTGAATTAATCACAAAAAATGATTAAATTAACCAATAGATCATCTCACTCAAACATGAAACAGCTTATATCAAATTTCTTCTCATTGAATAATTATCAAGAGTGCCACTTCGGCTAATTTTCACGATATTACCACTTCTATAATAGTCTTATTATTTATTTGGTAAAATGTAAAAAAATTTCTGTCATATTAAAATTATTCAAGAAACTTTTTATAAAATGTATATAACCCTTTGTATTTTAAAAATTTATAGCAAATTGTCCCTGGTTGTCAATTTTGACCAATTTTTTTTATATAAAAATCCCAAAATACACTTAAGAAAATTTGGGGTTTTTTTTTTAAATAAATAAAAAAAGTATAAAAAAGTATAAAAAAAAAAAAAAAAAAAAAAAAAGTTGGGGTTTTATTTTTAATTATTTATTTATTTATTTTTGTTGCTTTTTGTTTTTTAATTTAATTTATTTATTATTATTTTATTATTTTATTTTAAGAGCATTTTAAGTATTTAAGTCTTCAAATTGAAGAATTATCTTTGTTTTCTCAATTTGAAAAATGTAATTTTTTTTTTAACACGAAGTATTGAAATATTATTCAAATTGTAAGTGTCTTACTATTAAATTATTAATCAACACAATCAGTGTGTATATATTTTCTCAATTTGAAAAATGTAATTTTTTTTTTTTAACACGAAGTATTGAAATATTATTCAAATTGTAAGTGTCTTACTATTAAATTATTAGTAATACGGAGTATACTGTGGGCTTCCTCAAATAGGGAGATACTAAAAAGAATTATTAGCTAAGGGATTGATTATTGAGTTGACAATAATTTATTTTATTTTTGCATATGGAAAGATCGAACTCCAATTAAGATAGTTATCCAAGATAGTGGTATTATATATATATATATATATATATATATATATATATATATATATATATATATATTCATATGAAAAAATCCAGCTCACAACATATGTTCTGTTCCATAACAATAGTACGTCGGATATTATAATTACAAAACATACACATTCTATTGGAGAGTTTCTAGAGACTTGTTGAGTGTAGAGAATTTTTTTAGATTATTAGGAATTCTGTAAAATTTGTAAATATCTACAACATTGGTGAAGAATTCTAAAAATAGCCGCTCACATAGTATGATTATATATAGGGCAAGTTTCATTTGTAATATGAAGAATTTTTTAAAATTGGCAGAGCAGCCTAAAGAGTGAAGCTAGGTGGAGTGAAGTTGGTGAAGTTGGGTATTTGTTTGAGAAAATGCTGAAACATCATTAGATTCATAAGACAAGTGACATGTTATTTTTTTAACAATTCAACTTGACTTAAGGAGTCACTATGCAAGAGCGTGAGCTTTACCAACCATTCTTAATATATATATATATATATATATATATATATATATATATATATACACTTAAGATAATGGAAAGAGTTACAACATAGAGGTTGCTTGTACACTCAAAACACATACAAAAACTTTAAGTTATCATTCATTATTCGAGTAGTATTTGAATATTAATCTCAAAAATAAATAAGGATTAAAATTCACAAAGTCAATTCTCTCGACACTTTTCATCATCTTCAAAGTTCTTTTATACAAAACTTTATGAAAATCCTAATATTCTTGCTCTATTTATAAAGGAATAATTGAAGAATATAATTTTATTTTGCAATGCAACGAAAACGACTATTGAATCAATTATACAATAGATTATATCAAATCATATGATGGTTTAGAATATAACAATAACATTTATAAATACTATACATTTTCATATCAATAGATTTCAAAACTTGCAATAAAAATTAAATAATTATATCTGTATGTCTTATATCTATTATTATTATTATTATTATTATTATTATTATTATTATTATTATTATTATTATTATTTTGTTATATATGGTTGAAAGAATACAATATAAATGATAACATATTATATAGATATATATTAAGTTGTTCAGACACACCGTTAGAATTTATTTTCCAAACTATTAAAATTCATAAAGAGTACGTAAATAGATTTTTGTGAAAGAAAAGTGTACAAGAGGCTAAAAATAGATGAAAGAGATGATATAAAATAAATATTACGGTTTATTCATAAATTAAAAGACAAATAAAATTTGTTAGGAGAATATATAAGAGGGTAGTAGATTTTTGTGAAAGGAAAGAACATGAGACGCTTAAAAAAAAAATAGATGAAAGAGATTGTATAGTCAATGTTAAAATTTTATAACTTTCAGCTTCTTTAAAAGCCGTTTATAATATCAATTTTTTATTCCAAGGCGGTTGTATAAACATAACTTTAATTTTTAATTTAGACAGACGTTTATTAATTTATTAATTAATATTGATAATTTATTAATTAAAGAAAGTGTTTAGTCAAGGAACTTAAATATAGAAAATAGATTCTACACTACTTGAAGTAGGATAGAGTTTTAAATTCAATCAATCAGCCCTAGCATTAAAGAAAAAGAGTGAAAAACAAAAAAAATTCAGAATGAAAAAGAGTTTTAGTTAATGATACTTGCCTGAAAATAAATGTGACTTTCATGTGAGTTTTTATTTAAAGAATAGGATGCATTGGGATGAAATAATTTTTCGTTAATGGAGGATGATGTTCATGATTTTTATTTTTTCTTAATTAAAAAAAAAAATCAATAGAAGTAAATAGAAATTGGCTTTTGATTATATATATACACATATATATATATGTAATAAGCACATTACAAATAAAGTATATATTAATCTTGTCGAACTAAATGCCATTTTATTCTAAATGTAACTCTAAAGAGTTTCTTTATTTCTCAGTATTCTTACTCCTAAATTTTCATGAAACATACTTCCAAAAATCTTCATGGAAGAGACTTCTAAATATAAACACGGTATATAATGGAATCATAAATACTTCGAAGAGAATTAGGCAAATGCATATAAAAGATCAAACATTTCTTAAAAAATTAAACAGGAAAGGAATGAATTAGACAGAAAAGCAACACACAACAATAAACACATTATATAAGCCAAAAATGAGAAATTTTCAATAAAATATGATCAGAATGAAGTTAGACCAAAACATTTAGTTATAGCATAATATGAATAGTATAAATAAAATATTATAAAATAATAACAGTTCAATAAAATATCAATAAAAATATCAATAAAAATATATTAAAGTAGGAGAGAGTAAAAAACTTCAAGAGAGTAAGAAACTTCTGACATGTTCGAGAGTCCAGATTATGAAATGATTCAAGATTGTCACGTTCATTGAAGAACATTTACAAAGCCTTCCATTATGATGTTGTCCATAAATTCAAGATAAATATATATCTCGAGATAGTATATTGGTTGCATGGACGAAACGAAGTTAGTTTAGAAAATTATTAGATTACTCTAGGGTATTACAAACCTATTCATGAAAGGATATGTCTTTTAAAATTTTAACTGTTAACTTTTTTAAGACCAATTTGATGAATACTAATCAAAGATATATTTCCAACAAAAGCGGTTCAAAAGTGACCCTAAATAAAAACATTTAATAATTTTTTTTCACAAAAATTTTTGCATAGAAAGATGAAAAGGGAGAGAGAGCAAGACAATAATTTAGGGTGTTGAAATATCCATTACTTTTTTTATATGATCGACGCATACTTTCAATAGTTTTGAGGAAGCATAGCACGTATTTTTTAATAATAATAAAATAATTTAAATTGAGAGGTGATATATTTTAACAAGACAACAACTAAAGAAAAGATGTTTAATATGAAAAGTATCTGAATTTAAAAGAAACTCAAAGTATATAAAACAGAAGAGTTTGGAGTTTTGTTTTTGTTTTTGTTTTTGTTTTTTCTTTGCAAATCGATGCCAATAGTGAAAAAAAAAAAAAAAAAAAAAAAAACCGTAATATTTTTTAATTAGATAAACCGTTTTGAAATGTATATAAATATTATAAATTGAATACACCTTTATTGGATATATATATATATATATATATATATATAGATATTATGTACTGCTATATCCAATCAAATTCTCATAAAAAAATATCTATGTTGCGTCTTGAGAGCTATTCTCAAATAAAATGTTTGACTATAGCTGTTAGCTTAGATATTTGTTACATTGGTCAAAGTAGTTCATGAATGGAGTTGAGTTGTAAAGTCCTCACGTGTTAGAGATTGTGAACTCAATGATTGGACAATTTTTTTTAGAATAGGGTAGAAGTTGGTAAAGTGTAAAAATGATTGGACAATTTTTTTTAGAATAGAGTAGAAGTGAGTAGAGTATAGTTCTACAAATTAGATTTTAATTAGTAACATTCAAATCTCCCATATATATATACAGTTAGGAATCTGATGGCGCGCGCATGGGGCTTGGCCCTGGTGCTCCCGCGAAGACGTCTGATTTTGTTTTCGTTTCTTTTGTTTTTTATCCGGATTTCAAATCAAGTGATTCTTGAATCTAATTTCGTTAATTTTTCGCCGTTTATCTAATGGTGTGCTCGATAGCACCCATAATTTTTAAAAAATTACAATTTTACCCCTATGACTAAAATTGTCCGTTTTTTAAATATCACTTCCGCATTTTGTTTTCTTTTAAACTCTGTGACTTCATGGAAAGTCACTCTTGTGTTCTTGGGATTCTGTTTATCCAAAAGGACCTTATTTTCTTTATTTTTACTTTTACATTCTGAATCCATTATCAGATCAACTTTCGGGTCACATTGACATATCGTCACAGGAAATGTGTTAAAGGAATGACATGAATGGATAGCATAGACATGTAACATTATATTTTTGAATTATTTATTACACATATGCAGAAGTAGAGATGTTCTGATAGCGTTAATACTTCAAGTCTGAGTAATAAGTACAAAAATACGGATTAAGAATGTCCGGTTAAAATATATATATATATATATATATATATATATATATATATATATAGTGAAGAAGAGAGCGAAGGGGAAGGGAAGAGAATAGAAAGGAAGAGTAAACGTACTCATTAAGAAGAGAGTGCGCATTCTTATCTATTAAGTGTGTTTTTTCTATTTTATTTTTATTTTTTCTTTATTGCCATTATATGTTGTATATGTGATCTTGAGCGGATTAATTCTTAATAAATAGTATCGGAATTGATACAATATAAATTCATTCATAACATCATCTCAACAGACGAGTAAGTAGCAACCTAACTTTTAAATAGTTGAGAGAATAAGTAGCATCGTTAGAAAAGTATCTGCAAAACCGTAGAAGTACAGAGATTTTTTTTTGCAGTCAACTCAAACTAATTTCACATGAATGCTATAATCGACCCACATTATTTCTTGCCTCCATCAAATCACTTGGAGACCTACACGTTTAGAGGACCTATTGGGAATTCATGAATTTTCATATTTTAAGATTGTCAGGCTTGAATTTAAACTTTATACGGATAAAATGAAAAAGAATATATTAAAAAGAAAAAAGGAAATTTAGATTAGGGAAATTGAAGTAAATGAGACCGGAAAATTATCACTAACAAACACGAATTTACATACAATGCAATCCTAGGAGAAAAGGACGACTGCAAATATACAAAACTTAGCGGGATCAAGCCTGTGCAAAAAAATGTTTACAAAAAAAATAACCGTACATCAACATAGATGCAGCTTCTGTTAGAAAGCTCTACAAGAAGATGAATTAGTTTATCAACCCTTGAAGCCTTTATCCAAGACCTGATCTACGGCCGCCGAGACATATTGTTGAAACTGTTCTCCGACTGGTTTTCAGGAGGACATGACCACTGTCAAAACACTCGTGATGAGACTGGTATATAACTGACCCATAAGGAAGGCGTAAGGAAGCATGCGGGAAATGTAGTCTGGATTGGCACCCGGATGATTCCAGTGGAAAATGTGGATTTGAGGAAAATATGATAACTAACCACTTGTAAAATCTATTCTGGGACCAAAACTTTAGATTTAAGGAAAGCTAAACGGTTTTTGGTGAGAGTTAATTTTTCTTCTGCTTCAGCAGCTTTTTCTTGAACTCCACGTACAATTTCCTCGGGAGCCTTTTCAACAAACTGCAGACAGCAAAACAAAGTATGTAGGCCATCATAAGATTACATGTTTAAGAAAAAGAAATAAAACTATCGTATTAGTATAATACGTCCCAGGCAAACATTATAGTAACATTGGCGGTCTACATCCATAATAGAAACTGCAGTTTCAACACCGATAGAACATTTTATAAGAACCTGAAACTTTGAAGCATAGTCAAATATAATATATTTTGCCCCAAAACGAACTGTTTTTCTTGCAATACTAAGACCACTTGTTGAAACTAATACATAGACATATGCAGACCAAAACAGCAAATGCTACTGACAGATCCTTTTCACAGCAAACATCTTACATTTCCAAATCTCCCGGCTTGGTCCCAGTACAGTGTACAATGCCACCTTTGAACATTGTCACCAAGATAGGATTGATTGTACTGGATATAATAAATGGCTAAAACAGGTAGAAACATATGATCTTTTCTAAACATCATGTGTGCTGGATTCCTCATTATTTTCAGTAATAAAAAATGAGAAACGGAAAATTTTATGTATGGTGGATGCATGGAACCAAGAGAAAAAAGTACCTGATGTGATGGATATATCATAATTTTGCTGCACTTACATGCGCACTAATTCAAAGACGATTATATGGATATAAAATGAGCCAGAAAAATTCAAATTTCATACTTTAGGAGAACTCAAGCGAGCTAAAAGCCCATCATACTCCGTTTGCATCTTGGAGAGACGCTTGGACAGGCGTTGGACTTCAGCAGAGATATCTACCATATCAGCAAGAGGGAGATACGCCTCTAGACCTTCACCAGCAACAAGATGGATAGATTGATTTGCATCGCCTGAAGCATTGTTGGTGGTGTTGAGATCCACCAGAATGGTAATAGTTTAACATGTTATTCTATTAAGACAATTGATGGTAAACATGAGCTAGAAAACGTAAAACATAGATGACCTATGTTTGGCCAAAAGAACATTGCTGTTATGTAAACATACCTGGAGCAGAATCTGCAAAATGAATGTTTTGTAAATCTAGCCTGGAGAGAAGAGCTAAAACATCCTTCTCTTTCTGCATCATATACATAACATATATTGACATGTGTAAGAAATCTGTGTAGAATGCACACATACATTTCTGTAAAGGTTGTTGCTACCAATAACAATTGCTACATTAACCTTCTGCTAGCAGCCCCCGGACACTTAATTTACCTCAGAAAGCATGACGCGAAATCAGTACAGGTAATAGGTTCCCAGTGAGAGAGTTCAGCAGATCTAGAATCAGTTGATAATTGTGGGAGACAATGAAGTTATTAATCTAATTAGGTACTTAAATTCCGGAGTCATGGTTGGCCGAAACTTTTGAAACTTCAAATATTCAAGAAAACAGATGGTAAATACCTCTCAACGATATTTCAAACATTTTCCAAATACAAAACATGTTGCCCAATAATTCCTCTCTAAGGCAAAAGTATAAAAATTCATAATATGATACAAATAAAGCTATCAACTTTACGGCTCCGTTTGTTTCGACGTAAAATATTCTTTTTGGAAATTTTTTTTTTTTTTTCAGGTAAAATATTCTTTTATTTTTACTTCGTCGGTGTTTGGCAAAAGTCTACGTCGAGGTTGAGGTCGAGTCTATCGGACGGGATATGTAAAATAACTTGCCGAAAATTGATGAATAAGTTATTTTTGTTAAATTTTAATATTTTTTTACTTCGTAAATATTTTACGACAACCAAACACCAGAAAATAAAAAAATATTTTCTGAAAAATATTTTACGTCCAAACAAACGGAGCCTAAATGTTGATAAGATAGGAAAATCACCCTGTATATAAACTGGCCATTTGAGAATATTAATAACTTTTTAATGAATTTTCACATTTCTATACATATTTCATTCTATTAGTTTATATTACAATAGTTTCTTTAAAGATTATTAACTATTAAATAATATAGCTATTAACTATCCTCTATGGTACCAAACTGGTTCCTCCCAAAATTATAAATTATTAGAAATTTAGAATAATTAAGTCATTGAATACTAGTTACATTAAATTGTCAACTGTATAAAGTTATAGTGTTCCAATTGCAAAAGAAAATTAAAACCTGAACTGTATATGCTACAACACCAACATTTTGATGATTGACTCACACATGCACGCTACTCAATTTTTTGCAGTGTTTTAACATCCATTACCCGACATCTTATACTCTAAAGACTTAGCTGAAATTATAGTTCCTTGCACATTTTCCTTAAATTTTGTCGTATGACCACACAACAATTCAATTGCCAGTTTTCATTTCATCACCTCAAAATCTCAGGAGAAATTCCTGGATTCTCTTCTGCATATTGAAATAACAATAATTTGAGTATCTCTTGCCTATCAATTTTATTACTTATCTTCACTCATAAAAATATTGAACTAAAGATTTTCTAATGTTAGTTTTAAATCTAGGGTAAATTACATTCACTTCCCCTCTAGTTAGGATTTGTTACACTTGCCTTCCCTGTGTTTTGGATAATTACCTTCTAGTTACATGTGTATAACAAACCGATCCCTGCCCAACACTGATGTGGCAAGGCTTTTAGCTTCATATGACAAATCTGCCCTTCAAATTACTGTGAAAGTACTTTTGTCCAACGCTTCTTGTGCAAAAAGACAATTATACCCCTAATTAAAGAAAATTAGATTGACGAAAATGTCGTAAGTTGGAAGTATAATTGTCTTTTCGCACAAATAATTGACAAAGTGTCTTCACAGTAATTTGAAGGACAAATCTTTTATATAAAACTAAAAAACTTGCCACATTTGCGTTGACCATATATGACTGTTGGTGAAACTAACGGCAGGGGTCAGTTTGTTACACACATGTAACTAGAAGGGAGGTGTAATTATCCAAAACACAAGGAAGGTAAGTGTAATAAACTCTAACTAGAGGGGACGTAAGTGTAATTTACCCTTAAATTTGAAATACTTTGACTCTTGACTACACATCAATATAATATTGTTAGCATATATGATACCACGATTTATGGTATGACTTACCATAATAGCAGAGATTTGACTATGCACATGTTAGCATATATAATACCACGATTTATGGTATGACTTACCATAATAGCAGAGAGTTGACTATGTTATAGAATATGCCATAGAATATGTTTTAGAATAAGTTGTGATTTGATTTTGATTTGATTTAGGTTCCTTTCTTGTAATATGAGCATGTGCTCATTTTATCTATAAATACTAGAGCTGTGAATAAGTAATTCATATCATTCAAGTCTTTACGCAATTCTCTCATTTCTCTTCTTTTTTATATATTTCTACTTGGTATCAGAGCCAACACCTTTCCACACCTTTCAGCAGCCTTGCTACTTGTGCAACAGCTACCTTAGGTTGTTTGTGACATCATGTGACGTTGCCTACACATGCTTTTTCTGTATTGTTGCTTTGTGATCGAAAACAGGTATTTTTAAGTTTTACAATTTCTTTTTCACTCTTCTAGGGTTAGGTAAATTGGGATAGTTGGTTTCCAACACCTAGAAGGGCTTGGGTGAAAAAAAAAAAAAAAAAAAAAAAAAATTAGTCTACAAAGAGGTTCCGGATATTAAAAAAGAAGCTGTCTGGCTATATGTAAGCGGGCAGCGCTCCTTAAAAAAGGTATGTATTTGGATTTTTCGGGAATGGTCTGAGGAGACATTGTTATTGTTTATGGTCTGAGGAGACCCTTTGATTTATTAATAGAATTTGTGGTGTTTTTGGAGTTTTTTATTGTCGTGTAACAGATTATGGCAGCTTCAGGGTCCTCGACTGTTAATTCTCTTGGCTCAAGTTTTGTGGGTGGTGGTGCCATTTTTCCCACCAACTCATCAGAAAATCCAGGACTTCAAATCACCACAGTGAAGTTGGATGGTTCCAACTATTTGATTTGGGTACAGTCTACCAAGATGTTCATTGGTGGCAAAGGCAAGATTGACTATATTACTGGTTCTGAGAAAGAGCCAGCTAAGTCAGAGAAGGCATATCCACAGTGGTTTGCAGATAACGCTATGGTTATGTCTTGGCTAGTCAATTCGATGCAACCAAACATAGTTGTTGGCTATATGTTTATGAAGACTGCTAAGCAGATTTGGGATTTAGTTCAACGCACTTATTCTCAGAGGCAGAATAATGCACGAATTTTCCAACTGGGGCGAGATATCACCGAGATTTCTCAGGGTGACTTGACAGTTTCAGGTTACATTGCCAAGCTTCGTGCTATTTGGGAGGAGATGTCATATTATGATTCCTTCCACTCTTGGAAAGATCCAGATGATGCAATTTTATATGCAGAAATTGTGGAGAAGAATCGAGTATTTCAATTTCTTGCCGGGTTGAACGACGAGTTTGAGTATGCTCGTGTTCATTTATTGGGCTTATCTTCATTCCCTACTCTTGAGGATGCATACTCCTATGTGTTGTCAGATGAGAGCCGCCGGACTCATCCATTAGGTGTTGCTTCTGTTGATCATTCTGCTATGGCAGTTCGGGTTCCTAACCTTTCAGGAACTTCACCATCCCAGTCAATTCTAAACACTACCACCAGTCATCCTCTGGGACGACAACGTGGACGGTGTGACCATTACGGAAAAATTGGTCACATTAAATCTCGTTGTTATGCTCTACATGGACGTCCACAGCAACAGAAACAACAGCCTCGATCCTCTACACATTTTGTTACACAACCAATCTCGTTGTCAACTCTTAACAAAACTGCCTCTACATCTTCTGCCACAGTTACCTTAATTCAAGCTGATTTGGACAAGTTCAAGCAATTCTTCAACCAAATGAAGGCATCATCTCAGCCAACCTCCACTTATGCCCACTCAGGTACTACTGCGTCTACACATAGCGTATCTACATCTTCAACACCATAGATCATTGATTCTGGTGCTTCAGACAATATGACTGGTATGTCCTCACTCTTCCAATCTTATAATATCTGCTCTGGGCCAACGCAAGGTCCGCCTTGCAGATGGCTCTCCATCTTCCATTGCTGGGAGGGGTCACATATCAGTTACTCCTTCATTAACTTTGTCAAATACACTTCATGTTCCAAAGTTGACTACAAATCTTATTTCTGTTAGAAGCGTTACCAAACAATTAAATTGTAGTGTAACGTTCTTTCCCTCTCATTGTATTTTTCAGGATCTGGTGTCGAAACAGACGATTGGCAGTGGGCGTGAAGTGGACGGTTTATACCTGTTGGATGCTCCTTTGTCACCTCAAGCACATTCAGCTTCATTTTCTAATATTGTTTCATCTAATAAAGCCCAGCTTATGCATTGGCACATGCGTTTAGGACATATTTCTTTTGGTTATTTAAAACATTTATTTCCTTCCTTATTTTGTAACGTGGCAGTGTCAGATTTATCCTGTGAAACATGTCATATGGCTAAACATGTTCGTTCCAATTATCCTGCTAGTAGTAATAAATCTGCTTTAACACCTTTTGATCTTGTTCATTCAGATGTGTGGGGTCCTTACCCAATTACTTCGAGTCTTGGATTTCGATATTTCGTGTTGTTCATTGATGATCATAGTCGTGTTAATTGGGTTTATCTTATGAAAACCAAAAATGAGGTATACACCATCTTTAAAAATTTTATGACAATGGTTCAGACTCAATATGATCGTACCATTAAAAAATTCAGATCTGACCAGGGTACAGAGTACACTTATAGGGAGGTACAACGGTTATGTACAGAATTTGGGATTGAGCATCAGATGGCTAATGTTAAAACTCCTCAACAGAAGGTCGTTCTGAGAGAGAGAATCGCCACATCCTTGACTTAGCCAGAGTAATCTACATTGGCATGAATGTTCCCCAGTCATTTTGGGGAGATGCAGTTCTTCCCGTTGTTTACATCATTAATAGGACTCATTCTAGGATTCTTAACTTTGCAGCCCCACTCTCAATCTTACATCCCAATTCATCTCTTTTTTTGATTCCTCCGCGAGTCTTCGGGTGTGTGTACTTTGTTCAGCAGTTGGGGCAAACTCGTACAAAGCTTGACCCCAAGGCTTTGAAGTGTGTGTTTTTAGGCTATTCTCACTCTCAAAAAGGTTATAGGTGTTACCATCCTCTCAGTCGTTGGCGGTTTATATCTATGGATGCAAGGACGGAGCCAATTAAGGACCAGGAGGGGCACGTGGGATTTTCTCCCTCTCTTATATTCTATATATATTTTATAATAATATATATATTTTTTTAATGAATATATGGAAAGTGCCCCCCTGAATTTTCTCATTCTTCGTAAAATTCTATATATGTTTCATATTTTTTTCTCCTAAATTGTTTCTTTAATCCTTATATTCTGTATTTGTAAATTAATTTCATTCCAAAAATATCATTATCTCTTTCTATATATATATATATATATATATATATATATATATATATATATACTCATAAATATTAGCTTATATGCATGTACATTATATTGTAAATATATATTATGGTATACAATACTATAATGTCCCCCCCCCCTGAAAATTTTTTCTGGCTCCGTCCCTGCATGGATGTTTCTTTCTTTGAGCATACACCATACTATAGTGGTTCAGTTGGTTCTCAGAGTAAATGGTTCCCATTGAATATAATGGATGATCACCTTCTTCCGTCTTCAACTCCTTTAACATTACCTGTTTCTTCTTCTATGATTCCTCCTCGTGATACCCCTCCAGCAGGGGGAATTGTTCCTTTTTCACAGGTTTATAGTCGGAGACAACAGGTACAAGCTTCTCCTCCCACGATCGACTGCCCTGTTCCTTCGGCACCAGCTCCGCCTTCTCAAGCTATTGTTTCGCTTGATGATCGCCCCATTCCTCTTCGAAAGGGTAAACGTTCTTGTACTTACCCTATTTCTAATTTTGTTTCTGATTATGCTCTCTCACCCTCCTATCGAAGTTTTCTTGTTTCTGTTGCCTCGGTTCCTGTTCCTTCTAGTGTTGCAGATGCACTAGCACAACCTCAATGGCGTGATGCTATGACAGAAGAACTACAAGCACTTGAGAAAAATCAGACTTGGGACATGGTTCCGCTTCCTATTGGACGAAAGGCTGTGGGTTGTCGTTGGGTGTTTACAGTTAAGCATGATCCAGATGGGTCAGTTTCTCGTTACAAGGCCCGATTGATTGCCAAGGGTTATGCTCAGACTTATGGCATAGATAATCAGGAGACTTTTGCCCCTGTTGCCAAGATGAATACCATCCATGTATTATTTTCCGTTGCTGCAATTCGATCTTGGCCTCTATTTCAGTTAAATGTCAAGAATGCCTTTCTCAATGGTGATTTGCAGGAGGAGGTGTACATGGTTCCTCCTCCGGGCTTTCGTTCTCCTGCTCATTCTGGTATGGTATGTCGTCTTCGTCGTTCTCTGTATGGCCTCAAGCAGTCTCCTCGAGCTTGGTCTAATCGCTTTGGCACTGCTATGCTCAAGTTTGGTTTCCATCAAAGTGCAGCTGATCATACCTTGTTTTTAGTCATTCAGGCGGTAAGACAGTTGCTCTCATTGTGTATGTCGATGATATTGTTCTTACCGGCGATGATACTACCAGAATTGATGAGGTTAAGAGCTATCTTGGCCGTCAGTTTGAGATTAAGGATCTTAGTCCCCTACGGTACTTCTTGGGCATTGAGGTGGCTCGCTCCAAGACTGGCATTTTCATCTCTCAACGCAAGTATGTTCTTGACTTGCTTTCTGCTTCTAGTCAGCTTGGCACTCGTCCTGCTGATACTCCGATTGAGCAGAATCATCGGTTGGCTGATTTTGAGGGGGAGTTATTGTCAAATATTGGTCGGTATCAACGACTTGTGGGGAAGCTCATCTATTTATCCATGACTCGACCTGACATTGCTTATGTCATGAGTGTCGTGAGTCAATTCATGCACTCTCCTCGTGCCCCTCACCTTGATGCAGCTATTCGAATCCTTCGCTACTTAAAAGGGTGTCCAGGCCGTAGAATTTTGTTTGCCAATCATGGTCACTTACGTGTTGAGGCTTGGACAGATGCTGATTATACAGGATCAATTTCAGAAAGGAGGTCTACTTCAGGTTATTGTACCACTATTGGTGGTAACTTGGTTACTTGGCGCAGTAAGAAGCAAGATGTTGTCTCTCGATCTAGTGCAGAGGCAGAGTATAGGGCTATGGCTCTTGGGGTAGGTGAGTTGTTTTGGCTGAAAACCTTGATGACAGACTTGTGCCTTCCAGTGTCGCTTCCATTCTCACTCTACTGCGACAACAAGTCTGCCACTAGCATAGCAGCAAATTCCGTTCAGCATGACAGGACTAAGCATATAGAGGTGGACCGTCACTTCATTCGAGAGAATATCATCTCTGGTCAAATTTGCACTCCATTTGTCACAAGCTCTCAGCAGCTTGCAGACATTCTTACAAAGGGCGTCAGCAAGATTGTGTTTGATAATGCATTGTCTAAGTTGAGCGTTTTAGATATCCACGCCCCAACTTGAGGGGGAGTGTTAGCATATATGATACCACGATTTATGATATGACTTACCATAATAGCAGAGATTTGACTATGCACATGTTAGCATATACGATACCACGATTTATGGTATGACTTACCGTAATAGCAGAGAGTTGACTATGCTATAGAATGCCATAGAATATGCTTTAGAATAAGTTGTGATTTGATTTTGATTTGATTTAGTTTCTTTTCTTGTAATATGAGCATGTGCTCATTTTATCTATAAATACTAGAGTTATGAATGAGTAATTCATATCATTCTAGTCTTTACGTAATTCTCTCCTTTCTCTTCTTTTTTATATATTTCTACTAATATAGTAGGCCGTTGAAGAAGGGTTGGGTCCATATTGAGCTATATATGATCCCAACCATAATTTGACCAAAAAGTATGTGAACCAAGCATGTTTAGAAAGAGTGCAATAATATAGCTAGTAAACCACACAGAGCACTAATTTTCAGTACTCAAATGCAAAAGTAGCCAGCTAGTGTTATAAATAAAACATGCACACGACCAGACTGTGGAAACCAGAAAAAGAGAGTCAATACTTACAGAAATATACTGGAGGACCTCAGAATTAGCAACAATAGATACAGATATACGTTTTGCCGGCTCAACAGAATATTCGGCTCGAGCATTTCGAATCGCTCTTGTCTAAATATTAAAAAGGGCAAAAAAATTAAAAATCAAGGACTATTTTAGCTTCCATGAAAGATATATTTACAAGGACAGCATGGAAGAGGAGATGTTGAGGGAGGAGGAAGAACAAGTTATTGAACTCACAAGTGCTTGTAAATTTTCGAATCTTTTTATTGAGTTAGCATGCCTTGGAAGTGAAGTCTGTGGCCAACAAGATATTATAAGAGCACCTTTCCTGTTGGGGAGTGCCTGCAGAGAAATTCAATGTTTAGAAAATCCACAGAAAGATATAACATGCAAATTAAAAACTCCAAGTGGCAAAAAAATTCCAACACTCCATTTCACTTTGGGTTTTAAATTATAGGAATTTCATCAGCAGATTATGTTGGAAGCCAAAAAAAAAAAAACTCAGGAAGGCAGAAATGATATATAAGGAGACTGCATCAAAAGGTTTTGTGCCTCAAAAGCCACATACAGCAAGATTTGGCTCCACATTGCCTTTTTTTCTCCCCAAACTTTATAAGAGAAGTAATAAAGACGCGTGTTGTATTAAGGCTGATTAAGAGAAAGCACAAATGTATATCAAAAGTAGCAGCAGTAAGCAGAAACACCATGTGTTTAAGATATAAGGTGATAAGTCGCATAAATGATGCATTCTATAAGTAGCAGTAAATGTGCCTCTAAACTGAAACAGCCAGGACACTAATGGGGTGACATATGGCATATGTATATCAAACTGATTTGTTCATTGATTAGTTCAACCATAGAATAAATATGCATGAAAAGCTTGAAACTTCATGTTACTACTTGTGGGCTTGTTTTCCTATGTTCACTGTCACATGCTGAAAATAAATTTTCAAATAATCACATAATAACTCTAAAAGTAAAACAGAAAATGACCCTCTCATGTCATCATCATCACATCACCATCCTTGCCTTTTATCTCATATGAATTCTCTTTTTCCATACTTTTCTATTACAAGCCGTATCTCCAATTACAGTTAATTTTTAAAAATCATTTCTAATTTTTCTTAAATGACCCTCTCTTGTATGTCTGCATATTAAAAAAAAAAAAAAAAACAATTCTGAAGGGTAAATCGCAGATTATGAGCTTTAATCCAGACCATGGTAGCTATGATTTGTATCGTTCTTTATTAAGGAGGCATTTACGCATATCAACTTTCAAGAAATTTCCCAAAATATCTGAATAGAAGATCATATAGGAAGAACAAAAAAAATATTTACCATTTATAGCTAGAGAATTTAAATTCAGAAAATTACCTGCCACAGTTCTTCAGTTACAAATGGCATGAATGGATGTAGCATTATGAGTATGTTTTCGAAAACGTATAAAAGAACTGCCTTCGCTACCGAAGCAACTGAATGACCTCCAGAATGGTAAAGGCGAGCTTTACTAGCTTCAATATACCTAGGGGAAAATCTAGAAAAATTAACCATCTCAAGAAGAAAAGGGAAAGGGAAAGGAAAATGTTAAACTACTAGAACTTTTATACAGAATATTCAGCAAAAACAAAGAGGCAGTAGCATTTGTAAAATTACAAGATACATCGATTCTCCTTTGGTGATAGGTCCAAAATGAGTAATGAAATTCTAAGTAAATTTGTATAGAATGTCTAATTATATTGCATTGCTCAAAAGGAAATGTGAACGAATCATAAAACGTAAGTAACGGTGACAGCTTACAAATCCAAACAATTAATTAGCAATCAGGATACAAATGAACAATTAGGACAACATCAAGTGGTTCAAGCGAACTGGATCTCACTGATCACACAGACTACAACACTAATCCAACCTAAGGATATATTGCACTCATTTTAATAACCAGAAATCCAGTGACTTGATAACACTACACCCTTTAAGCTTAAGCATGAAAATTTTAAACAGAGTGGACTCAAAAGGAAGCCGCTGAGTACCCGCTTAAACTAGGGGTTTTAGAGCTTTTTTTTGTCTAGAAAGAGTAAATTTGGACAGAATTATATATCATGCAAATTACAAGTCCAAAACATCTGTCTTTTTTTACTTATGATATTTACCCCTGGGGCCACCTCCATTCTAAATGTCATGTCAGCACTTAAACATTATGCCCCAAAGGCTTCGGTCAACCTTCACTTAGTATTTGTAACTGTGGTTACAAACTAAAAACTTTACTCATTTTGATTATTGCTATTTGTTATCTTTTAGAAACTCAAACAAACAAAAAAAAAAGTACAACTCGAAGAGGAAAAAGCATGGAATTGGAAAAATTATGATAATACTGAATCAAAGAAAAATCCACCAATTCAAAACTAAAAATTAACATTTTATATGAAATATTGCACTATCATGCATATTAAAATAAATGAACCCAAAAATCCAGCAAACTATTCATGGGCTGATTACACAAACACATATACATCTTCAATACAGATTTTCTCCACGAGCTCCAAGAATTGCATTTGTGTAATTAAGGTTAAACTGTGGAAATGTCACAAACTTTGCAATAAAAAAAATTCTTCAATATCAGCCCTCATTGCAGTTAGTCTGAACAGTCCACCCCCAACGCCCACCACCACCACCAACCCCCCTCTTTTTTTAATTTAAGTTAGTGAAATGAACTTTGATGATATTTGGCATGCACATCTTGGCATTAATCACGGAATTACATTTTGCAAAGTTGTACTTTAAGAAAATCCCAACTTGAGGACTGAGACTTTTCAAATTGTAGTGACCAGAGAATCAGCATCATAAATTCAAAATCACAAATATAGGGCCTGTTTCGTTTGCGTTTGTTTTTGGTGTTTTTGTTTTTGTCGGGTAGCAGTGAACAGTGGAAAAAACACTCTTCGTAATGTTTTGCACAGTGACAAAGCGTTTCGTGAATAGTGGCCAAAAATCAAAACACCAATGTGGTGTTTTTAAATGTTTCAGCACTGTAGAAACAGTAGTGGCGATGAACAGTAAAAAGTTAAAAACTCTTAAATGACATTTTTAAACTAACCATTTTATTTTTCAAACTTGCAACACTTTTTTACCAAACATGTTTTTATGTTTTCGCTTCTAAAAATTTTGCAATTACCAAACATGCTTCCGATTACTATTCAAAACACCATACAACGAAACAATTGTTTTGTTTCGGGGTTAAAACAAACTGCGTACCAAAAAGGCCTATAGTGAACAAAGCAGCTAAAAGTTTCACTTCATTCTAGCTACTATAATATTCTAGAAGAGTTGTCAAAACTTAGCCCAGGTTCAATTCCTGTTAGAGTCATGTAATAAGAACTAGAGCAGTGGCATATAAATATAGGTTATTGAAGTAATATGTCGGGACATGAATCTAAATTTTTTTTCTAAGTCCTATTTATATGGGACAATTTTGGATTCAAATGTTGGTTGTAGGGACATGAATCTTAGATTTTTTTTTTTTTCTACTCTCTGGTAAGAATGAATCTTAGGTGTTCTGTAATAATCATTTTTATCCATTTACCAAACTGGATTCTTCAAACCAAAAACAGAATTAATCACTAAAACTGATTAAATCAACAAATAGAATCTAACAAAGCTTATATCATAAATTTCTTCTCTTTGAATCATTATCAAGAGTGCCATATCTGTTAATTTTCGCCATACTTCCACTGCAGTAATAGTTTTTTTTTTTTGGTAGGTCCGTAACGGATTTATGTTGATTTTACAAACAAACATTTTGTTCATTTAGAAAGAAAAAAATTATTCAAATTACAGGTGTCTTTTGGAGTGTAGAAACCACTAAAAGTTGAACTGTGAACCATTAATTAACACAACTGTATAACACTAAAAAAGAGTAATTATCTATAAAGTTGGCATGTAAAAAGAAACAGAATGTATGAAATAGTTCTAATCAACTAACTATTAAGTTGACTATAATTGTTTTACATATGGAATGATCCAGCTCACAAATAGAGAGATCTGTTCCATAACAACGGTTGGATACTATAACCACACATCATGGAGAAAACCTACATGAATCTGCTTTACATTGATACATTCACAGTAACTTGACTCATTAGAGTCCAGCAAGCATAAGCTGTGTTTGTATTTCACTTAATTTTTACATAGAAAATTAGGTATGCAACTGAAAGATTGATATATATTTTGGACTTGGAAATTCAAATGGAAGAATTATGAGCTGAAAGACTATTCATTGATAAGTATCCATGACAAGTAAATTTTGCTAATCTAGAAATTACCAGCACAAGATAAATTATACGGAGTATGTATGTTCTAAATGCAAGCTAGCTGATCCCAACTAGTTAGGACAATGCTCTCTTATTTATTTATTTATTTTTTGTAATAAGCTGCTGAAACATTAAAAGTGACATACCAATCCGCAAAATCACCCCAAAAGAAATCATATATTTCTCTTCCAACATCTCCAAAGAAATACTTGTCATAACTTGTGGTGACCATGTCAACAAGCATATGAAGTTTTGAGACCTGAATATTAGATAGTACCATTCAAAATTATTGGAGAATCATGGATTGGCACTGCATAAAACACATTCACGAACTGTCTTACCACCCAACACTCTGGCAAAGGTAGCCTGACAAGAGACTCCTCTTCATCAAACTGAAAACAGGAAATTATAAACAAAACTGTTTCAGCATACAGTATAAAACAATGCTACTCTCTTTCAGTATAATTGTACCAAATGCAGAATGATATGCAACTCCTTTATTAACTCTCACTGATAACAATTGCAAATATGCTGTCTAAATGGATGTAATATATTAACAAGGTATGCATTTGGAGTCATTTTTACTACATACAATTAAACTTAATTCACTTTTATTAATTTTATTCATTCAATTTAATGGAGAGACATATAAAATGTGATATTCATTTTTGACAGTAGGGAAAAAATATTTTCTTCATTGACTTTTGGACTACCTTAAATCAAGATAAGTCTAGGCAAGCACATCTCAAACCCAGCCTAAGCTCAAATTTGGGCTTAAGTGTGGCCTAGTCATGGCCACGACAAACAAAATTAATGGCTGGGCAGGCCAAGACTTTAAGTTGGCTGTCTCCAATTCAGGCAATGCCAACCCAGTGTGTAGCCTTCAACTCAATTCAACAAAGCCTTTTCCCAACTATTTGGGGTTGAGTAAATGATTATGTTTTGCCATACCCTTAGTTAAACAATTTAAACTACATGCTATTATATCTTTCCTACTTATCTCAACCAAAAAACTGCAATTTTTTTTTCCAACTCAGTGTTCATACCCTCCTCTAGTGTAATGGCAGCATAGTTGGTACGAAATGGTTTGAGAAGTGTCCTCAATTACTTTGAGATGGTTTCTACTTGGTTCTTCAACATGGGTAAAAATAAGAACTTTTGGGAGAGTGATCTTCCCGATTCAAAAGATACAAACTTTGAATTTCGAAAACAGATGGTTCAAGTTCCTGTGATCACCTTGGTTGTCCCTTGGAGAGCTAGAGAGAGGGAACACTAAGAGTAAATGAAGTAGATCTTAAGGAGCTAACTCTCCAGCCCAACCCACTATACTATTGGAGCCTGGAACCATCTATAACAACAACGATAACAAAGTACTTAATCCCCAATCCTAAAGGGTTGACTCTACAAACCCTATACAATTGTAACGACCAAAATAAAACTTACATTATGTTATCATTCATTTAATATTCTAATGATACGACCGTACACTGCATGATTTCCTTTACAAGACCTTAACAAGTGCTAAGAACCAAATGAAGTTCCCTTGTATTTAACATAAAGAAAATACTAAAACTGGTCAGATAATATCATTTCACTGACCTCAAAAGTGAATTAGAGGACAAACCTTGTAGGCCAATAGAGTTTCCCAAGCAAGTATATCACTGTCACCAGGCAAATTCTGCAACACAAATTTGCCAGCATTCCATAGTTTGTTAGTGAATGCCTTATTAGCAGTCAATCTCTCAGTGGATAGATTAAGATCCTGCAAGAAAGTGACACAATCATTGACAAATGAACAATTTATGTAGATATGTACCTTCTTCTTAGAAAACAAAGATGCATAAGCATGATGATGCAGTCTAAAATTTTTTAAGACAAAAGACAAACCTGACCAGCAGTTCCTAAAGCAAGTGTGAATCTTAAAGCATCTGTGCCAAACTCTTTGATTGTATCAATCGGATCTATGACATTTCCCAATGTTTTGGACATTTTTCGCCCCTGAAACAATTTGTCATATGGCAATTTTTATATGCAGCGGTACAAGAAAAAGAGAGTCAACCACAGAAGCATGAAAACTGAACACAGTTGTGGAAAAAAGAGGACCATGATATCCACCCCTGCACCTGTAAACCTATTAAAAAGAGAAAGAAGACATGATGAACTACATATATTTCTGATCACTAAACATGGAACTCTTGGCAGAAGCAGGGGTGTATATGTGTAGGGTCCTCAACCCAGGTGAGTATCACTTACCGTCGGACCAAAAAAGAAGGAAAAATACAAAGCATTCATCGTTCAAAACTAATGGATGTTGAATCAGAAGTTTCTTCCATGTATAGCCAATTTCCCTAAGTTTCTTCCATGTACAGGAGGATATACACGAGAAATAGTGTTATCGTTCAAAACTAAAAAAATTATTGATTTTTTAAGATTCATTCTAAACCAAGTCAAATCCTACATAAAATTTACCTCATCATGATACAAATATGATACATTAATATACCTGAGCTGTTAACAACTACATGCAGTAAACAATATGGGACAGCCTAGCTAAAAAACCCACCCTATGTCCCACAAATTCATAAAATTATGAAAAGAAGCATAAAGCTATAATTTGATGCAAATGTGCGTCAATCTTTCATCTTCATGGAGAGCAACAATGCGTTGTTCATTTAGATTCGTTTTTTTTTTTTTTTTTTTTTTTCAAAACAAGGGAGAAGTGGGAAGCAATGCTTTCATTTAAATTAATGGAATATTTTGTCAAAACGAGGGGGAAGTGGGAGGCTGTGAACTAGGCAATACTCATAAGGACCAAACCAACTCAGTCATCCTTCAACATTCGAACCCCAACCCCAAAAACTGGAGACCTCAACATAGTTGCCCAAAAAGAAATGCACAATCCTCTTCACAATTCGTTGGATGCTAAGAAGTTCACAATTTCCTTCTAGGTGCTGTAATCCAGGAAAAACAGAGTTAACCAGAACATATTCCATTAAACAAAAAGCCTTTATGTACTAATAAATGATAGTTCCCTGTGGTCGAAGGCGAGAACCCAAGTTCACAGAACCAAAAATAAATAAATGGAGGACTCTACCCTGCTGCAGAGAATGATACAGTGACTACAAAATGTCAATGATTAGACATAAACAGCTGCTCCAAATAATCACACTGATAAGAATATAAGAATGAGAATATAGTAAAAAGGTTTGTCATTAAATGCCCAAGGAAGATTGTCATGATGAGAAACAGAAACGAGAAACGAGAGAGACAACCAAGAAACATTGACAAAGAAAAGGAGTCGAGAAAGAAAACACCAACCCCCCCCCCCCCCCCCCCCCCCCCCCAAAAAAAAAAAAAAAAAAAATTCCACCACCTACCCAACCCCCGTTGAGGTTATCTACATGCATGACTTGCTAAATTGTTCTACCTATGAGTGCTGCGTGTAAACCAAATGCAATATCCACTTTGAAGCAATAGCCTCACTCGTGCATTCTACTCACTTGAGAGTCCCGGATAAGTCCATGCAAATAAATCTTCGAAAAAGGAACAGACCCAGTGAATTCAATTCCCATCATCACCATCCGTGCCACCCAAAAAAATAATATGTCATGCCTGTCCATGTGCAACAATAGAAATCAACATTCATGGGGAAAAAAGTCTGCATGGAAAGTTAAGCGAATATGCACGGAAAAAAGAAAGAAAGAAAGAAGTGACCATAAATCAATATTACCAAAAACAAATACACTATTCATTAGCATTAAATGAGCGTCCCTGCCTAATACAATATGGGCACCAACAGTCAGATTTATCACATTTTTGCTAACCAGAGCCAAGAAGCTAGAATACACTCCAAGCTTCTAATAGACCAACCCAATTAGCATCAGTCATTAACCACAAATAATTTTTCTATTATGTAGAAGCTACAAGTTATAGTGCTTCAGTATCACTGCAATGGTAAGGTTGCTCCATTGTAAGTTGGTCATGGGGAAACAGCCTCTCCGCATGACCCTCCTCCCCAGACCCCGCAAAGGCGGGAGCCTCGTGCACTGGGTCTACCCTTTATCCAAGCAAGGGGTTGACAGGCTTTTTCCAATTTAACTTCGGGTGAACAAGGATCCAAGTGGCAAATTATTGTTAGGACATCATGATCCAGTATCACTGCAAAGTTGATACTTAATCTGTTCTCTTGAGTTTACCAAAAGGGCATAGAGTCTTAGTAAGAGAAAAGACCATGAAATGAAACATGTGGGCATTCATATGTGTGCAAAAGAAAATAATTTATTAAGGAAAAAGGAAAGGCAGAAATTTGTACCAGAGGCACATCCAGAAGCTACAAAAAAAGAGAGAAACAATCCAGCAAAACCACCCAAAGGAGAAGCAAAATGTAAGTACACTCCACACAGGCACGGATCTATGAAGAGCTCAGCAGGGGCATCCGCCCCCACTGAAATTTTTTATTATTACATTTTATATCCCTAAATTTATATAATTTTTGCATTTATACCAATAATATTTTAAAATTGACCCCACTGAAATTATGAAAAAAACCATTTATATAAATTTGCCCCCCCACCCCCCCCCCCCCCCCCCCCCCCCCCCCCCCCCCTCATATGAATTCCTAGATTCATCCCTGACTCCACATAAGAACCAAAATCACAGTGCCTTATAAAGAGGGAAGGACTATTTGTTTGTGTCACCTTTACATGGATCATGGAGAACAAGAACCAAAATCACAATGCCATATAAAGGTGACACAAACAAATAGTCTTTCCCATATGAGAGAATAAAATTCTCTGCTTCTAAATGGTCTTCAAAAATTAAATATGAAGAAATCACCCATTTTGCTATACTGCAGTAGCAGTCAATTATTTCATGTGATTAAAGTATCTCAATGCTTACCATCCAAAGATATTTCAATTACTCCACGGTTCCCAGGAAAGGAAAAAAATGCAGGAAATGAAACAAGTAATCTAAACATGAAACAGCCATGCAACACAAGATATAAAGCGTCCATCTCTGCTGTACAAAGAGTTCACCACTAAAAGTTACAGAAGTTAATTTTTTTTTTTTTTTTTTTTTTTGACAATCTTGGGTGTCCGGGCCAGCTTGCGCGCACCTTGACTAATCCCACGAGGCCCTGAAGTTAACGACCGTAAAGAAGTTATATTTTGATATTCTATTCCATGCTTTACATTTTTTCCACTCTAAAATAGATAAGCAATTACATCTGGTTGTATTTATCTGGTCTTTCAAAGTTGTCTCCCACTGACATTCATGCATTGCTTCTGATTCCAATCTTGATTTTTCCCAGTTTCAAAATCCATTCAATTGTTCCCAGGCTTCTCCAAAGTTGTCTTCACAAATTAATATTCCAGGAAAACCAAATTTTATCTTCTTTGCCAAATGCATCGCCCAGAGAATAGAGGGGAAAAAAAAAAAAAGGGTGTGCTTCTCAACGGTTTTATTCTGTTAAAATACAGTATTGCAGTATATCCCTAGAGCTTCCATCCTAAGAATAGAAACAGAAATATTTTCTATTTTTATTTTTCGAAAGTTCAAGCAAACGCGCACACACCCACAAATGTTGCCCCTAACCAGGCTCGAACACTCAAGAGTTCATACCATCTGGGCTAATGCCCATTGGTAAAAACAAATAACTATTTTACTTCATGCTCTAGAATATGGGCCACAATTTGGATCACTGAAAGTAAATTAAGCTACAATGAACCCTAACGAAGAAACAAAGGCAAAGAAGAAACAAAGCAAAAGTCAGCAAAGGAAGTACATACCCAGTTTCAAGCACAGTGGTTGGATAGAACCGCCTAAAATCCTCTGTAGTAACATCTGGCCATCCCAGAGTACTGAAGGGCCATAGTGCACTAAAAAAGAAGCAAACAAGGAAAATTTGGAAGCAGTTATATATAATTATGTGCATGTACGTTAATCACTCTAAAGTAAAAAATAAAATTAACATCAAGAAGTTTTGACAGCACAATATACAAAAAGAAGTTTTGCAACAGACTCCCCATTTTGGCTGCTGCTTGCTGCAAAGCCTCTCTTAATGGTCATATTGTTTCAGTGGTTACTGAATTTTCATAGCTTTGATCTATTGAATTTAAGGCTCCGTTTGTTTCAGCGTAAAAATATTTTCTATGTAATATTTTTTCATGTAGAATTTTTTATTTTATTTTTATTTTTTGATATTTGGCAAATGTTTCGAAAATATTTTTTTATAAAATATTTTTGGTGTCAGACTTCTAAAAATATTTTTGAATTAAATTAAAATTCTAATTTTAGTCATTGATTATTTAATTTTAGATAAATAATGAACGTGTAAGGGGAACATTAGGTGTAGCCTATAATTGATAAAATTAGAGAAAGTAGACTTAAGTGGTATGGCCAGATACAACGTAGACCCGATGATGCAGCAGTTAAAAGAGGAAGAGTTGTTTTCTTAGAAGGTAAGCGACAGAGACTAACCGAAGCTTACATGGGATGAAGTAAATAAAAACGATTTAAACTTAAGAGAATACATGGTATATAATAGGAAAGAATGGAAAAAGAGAATTCTTGTGGCCGACCCCATCAATATGGGATAAAGGCAAGGATGATGATGATGATGATATTATACACGCACAAACACATACATATGTATTCAATAAACACACACACAAATATGCAGTTGTATGCCAACTCAATGAGAGGAAAAAAAATGAAGACCTTGTAGTATCTTTAGAATTTCCTGCTTTTTGATATATAGTATTTTCAAAACTTTCATTACAAAATGAAAGCATAAAAGAGATGTTAATGACTTGTACTCTTTAGAAACGAACCTCGAAAACCAAGTGTCAAGAACATCTGGATCCTGATATATTTCAACATTTTTTCCATGCTTCTCACGAGCCTTGTCAAGAGCTTCATCAGTGCTCCTAGCAACTATATATTCTTCTTCACAGTTTTTGCCCACAATGTACCAAACTGGTATGCGGTGTCCCCACCATAGTTGTCGGCTTATGCACCAATCCTTGATATTTGATAGCCAGTGATTATATATCTATAATCAACAACCAAAACACGTGTAAGCTAAAGCATGTATAGTTTAATGTAAAGATACAGTTAAGGAAAAATAACTAAAGGTTGACAGGACCAATGGCTATCCATGGCATGATATTTTTCATCTTAATGCTACTTGGTAAGAAATTCAAAGGTACATGGTTTAGTGAACAGTAAGCCAATAATGCAGGATGGCAGCTATACAGTTTCTCAAGGTATGAAGTTGAGACAACCCCATAATAATGGGGGACAATGGAGAAAAGAAGTCGGAAGCAAAATATAAGAGTCAATGTGAAGCCAAAATAGAGAAAATAAATCTTCAGACCTTCTCAAACCTTTCGGGCATAATAGTTACTTCCCCTTTCTCAACTGCTTTAAGGGCCTTGTCAGCTAAGGGCTCCATTGTTACAAACCATTGCTTGCTCACTAGTGGCTCTATTATCTGATTAGGACAAAATCAGTATGAGAACAACAACAGGTGAAAGCAGCGTCTCTTTAACCAAGTTCCATTCTTAAATTTGCAAGAGTAAGGGAATAGCAACAATAACACACTTCTCCACCACGCTGAGATCTGGGAACTCGTAAAGTGTGGGGTTCCTTTTTGGCAGCTAAGCCTGTCTCCTCAAGATCTGACCATAATTTCCTCCGTGCCTCAAAGCGATCAAGGCCACTGATTTTGTAAGTGCAGTTGCCATGTATCAGGCAGATCATAAGAATCTTTCTTTAATGCAAAATTTCTTCAATAACTGAATTAAATCAATTCCATAATATTACCAGTACAGTCCAGCAACCTCGTTAAGCGTTCCATCCTTGTTCATCACATTAAGTATAGGGAGACCTAGCTTCCGAGCAAGAAGGTAGTCATTGTGATCATGCCCAGGGCTTATCTTCAACACACCAGTTCCAAATTCTTTATCAACATACTGCACATTAGCAAGTCTCAGTATATTTAGAAACAAAGTTCTCAATTCAGAATTCAAAATTACCTCAAGGAATAACCACTAGGAAGCCAAAAAAAAAATACTGAAATTTTCAACATATCACAACATATTTCTTACCTTATGAAAACTTTTCCATTTTACAAATGGAATCAGAATGTGAAGATAATATTAAAAGCAGATATGTGGATCAACAGTCTCAGACCTATGATGAGTAAGATACTTTAGATCTTATTAGTCACTACGCTTGCAGTGTCATGTAATCAACTACAAAATGTGAACCTCAATATAGATGCCAACTTATCCATTCTATGCCCTTGGCTTTTTTAGCCTAAGCAAGTTTGGAAATGAAAGAGAAATTCACTCTGTAATTTTTGAACATGAAATGCACATAGGCTTCAAACCTCATATTGACCACAAAGAAAAATATAGGCAGCATACATGACAAGTGAATGCTCATACCTTGTCAGAGATGATAGGCACGTGACGGCCAAATGTCATGGGTACAATAGCCTGCCTTCCAATATACTTTGAATAACGTTCATCCTGCAAAACAGTAATCAATAAAGCATTGCATTAAATATTTTCAAAAAAACCTGCCTAGATCATTGAAAGTTACAACTAAAGGCAACTGCGAATTAACAGTGCGGTAGATATTCCAAGACAAACTGATGCATCCAATGTAGATATTCCAAGACAAAGTGATGCATCCAATATATGGCCCTGCTTCATAGCAAGGATCCTTCTCAAAAGCTGTGTTACATGGACTCTCTTAATGGCAAAAAAGTCTTTATACAGAGAATAAGACTAAACTTACCATCCAACACATATTCCCTTAACAGAAAGAGAAAAATCATGATTCAATTGCATAGCTAATTGGAAAGTAACTATAAGTACAGACATAAGAACTTTCGTAAAACATAGCATTAAAATTTTAAAACATTTCCCCTTTTGCTTGGGTTTGTGTAGGATCCAGATTCAAATTTTCTTTTGAATATCTAAAACTAATCCCTGGAATAATTGAAAGATCTTAAAAATGTTTTTCCACAATATCACATTGGAAGTGTAGTAAATAGAACACTAACTCAGCTAAAACCTTTACTTTTGAGAAAATTCTATAGACGAAGTGCATAAAAGCAACTAGCATTTGAACCTAAGCAGAAATTGACATTAGATAAAATTAAACATCTGTACCACCATTACATTCAAAATTTCTATGGAGATTTTAAATATGGCATATAAATTAATTGATATGTAAACAAAAGAACTGTTGAAATTAGTGTTCAAAAAGAAGGAAACAGAGAAGACTGTGATTGGGAAATTTTTCAGAAAGAGAAAATGATCCCCTCTCACTTGTATATGCATAACAAAAATAGTGTTCAGTAAAATGGCCAGCACGCCCTAATAAGAAATACAGAAAATAAGCCAACATACATTCTAACAAGAACAATCACTTCCAATAAACCCTCCTTTCCATCACCTACAAACTTGTTCAAACCAAGAGACCCTACCTGAGGATTCACTGCAATAGCTGTATCGCCAAATAAAGTCTCCGGGCGTGTTGTTGCAATTGTCAGAAAGTCATCCCTACATGGAGAAGAAAAATCATAACATCAATAAGCACGGGTAATGAAATCTTATCGAGGCTGTAAAAAAATTAGGCACAGACATCATACTCAATGAAAACAATATATACATATGAGTAACATGATTCACATATTAGCAACAATTTGAAATAATCAAAGCAGAAACCTACTTCCAGCAATTTACGACCCAGCATGAATCCTATTTTACCAATCCACTATCCATAGCCATAGCTTTAGTTAAACCACACACTGCCACAGCTTTCCTTATTATCTCAACTCATGTTAATTCTGGTCTTCTTTTTGCTCTTAACATTTTAATCTGGGAAATCTCACTCTCACACTGGACTAGAAGGAAATAAGGCTGCAGATAGGTAGAGAGATAGGAATGATATTATTTTAGAGTAAGGAACCCTTCCACGCAAGTTGAATTGATCATCCAGTTTATTTCAGGTCATTTCAGTAAAATTCCAAAGCACCATCCTGCTTATCAGATTTTGTCTCTAGCATTCAGACTTGAAGGTTCTTTTCTAGAATGAATTAAATTAATCTAACACTTAAAAAATGGTGATTTTGTGTCCAAACAAAAAAAATTCAAAATGTTGTGGAGTGGATTTGATCACGACGATCTTTGTTCCATGTCAATTTTTAGAAACCAAAAAGTTGATGCTAGCTCCAAATGTGAAACATATTGACATTATTTTTTAGATATATATTTTTATATATTTGTAAAAAAAATACAATTACTAATCTATAATCTATTTAAGTATCACAAAATGTGCATGGCACATGCATTTTTACTAGTATACATACATACATATATATATGAAGAGAGAGATTTGTGTTACCCTAAACTATAATAGCAAAATAACAATCGCATATTTGGAAGAAATCAGAGTGGTGAGACTTGCTTCTGGAGAAGATGACGCTTTTGAGAAAGAGGCAGCGTGACCGGTTGCTAGAGATGGTGTTTTTTGGAGAGGTTGAACAACTGGATTCGGCAACGGCGTATTGAGAAAGGGGAATCTTTTGGGGAGAGAGAGGACTCTTCTGGGTTAAGCCATTTTTTTTGCATAGAGAGAGAGTTCTAGAGAGGCATTAGGTTTGTTAGGGTATGAAACATTCAGATTACACCAATATGCATATATATATATATAAGGATAATTTGAGTAATATAAAATAAGGGTATTTATGTAATATCACTATATAACCGGAGTGGGAGACTTCTAAACATGTCCCCACCGCAAACTAGAGTTGTGTTCAAATTACTAACGCTTACCCACCCCTATTTCAATTAATGGCCCATCAAACCTGTCCCGCCGGGTCGGGACAAATTGCCCAACCCTAACTAACGCCCCAAATTCAAGGGCACTCAGTACCGCAAATGGGCTGGCGCCTAGTTAAATGTTGACACTTAGCTCACTTTACAAACTCTAGAAATACAAAACAAGATAATTGTCTTTTTTGGTAAGTAACAAGATAATATGTTTCCGTTTGATAAAACTGAGAAATAAGTTATGAAATATTTATTAACTGATTTATAAGCCCCAAAAGTTCAAGTGCTGAAATTACAATGTTTGACTTCTTTTAAGGATAAATGGGTCCTAATTAAAAAAAAACTTTAGACAGATTCTCACTAAGCATATTCAGTGATAATTGAACTTCCCGTTCATATAATTCATAAAACTTGAATCCTTTTAAGTAATCAATTATTATTAAGTGAAACTTGAGTTTATGTTACCAAACACACTTAACAGTAGAATTACTTATCAAAATCGTTTTTAAGTGCTGGATTTGTTTTTTTAAAGCAGCACAATCTGGAGAAATTGCACCTGCAAACTTGACGTTTGACTAATCAACTTACCACATTACACAAAGATCAACACAGAATCATTTATAACAACTATGACAAATGGAATCAACATATTTTGCAAAATGTAAGTGTGGATTGTCTGTAATTACCTTGAACCTCCAGCAACACGATATTTAATATGGTACAGAGTACCAGGTTCTTCAGAATATTCTACTTCCTAAGTACAACAAAGATGGTTCATGTGAATTGTTAAGATTTCAGACATAGAACAGCAACAGTAGTAATACACACGTTACACCAAATCAAACATACCAAGTCTGAAACTGCCGTCTGTAAATTAGGGGACCAGTTGACCATGTAAGATCCTGCAAGAAAATGTGTCTTCATTTTATTGCTTACTACACTCAGGACACCAATGATACATCAAGCAATTGCTTAAAATCCTATTGCCATGTGCTTGGAAGATGACTCTTATTTCTATTACAAGGCATTAAGGTCATAGAAAAATTCAAGATTTTTTCTGTTTGGGTTTTGGCAATGCAGCTTTTCTCATGTTAAGAGAGTTGATAACATGGTGGTTTGAATTAGCTCCGCATGCTATTGATATTATGGGTTTGACAGGAGTGTTGAAATTCCAACTAATTTTCTTGTCGAATACCATTATCAAGGATTTTTCATCTTAATGACATGTTGACCGCTTCTCATTGGGAAGGGAGAAAAAATGAAGAAGGTGAAAATTTTATTAACCTACCATCCTTCACAATTTGTCTCCATGATATTAGAACAGTTGCAGAACAGGGAAAACTAGCCCCCTCCCTCTCAGGGTGGAGAAAAACTTAAATGCTCTTGGTGTAGTGATGACATGGTATCACACACTAATTAAATACTGACACATAGTGATAGGTCCCTCTAAAATAGATGCATTCTTACTTATGTGTCCGTGTTGAATTAGTCTGTAATACCATGTCATCATAACACAAGGAGCATTTAAGTTTTTCTCCTCAGAGTGGGATTGTAAAAGTATGAAGAATTAGCAAACTAGAAGTCCATGAGTGATTCAAATCTGTAGCTACTAAGAAAAGGCTTACTTGCTATCTCATAGTGCCATTTCTGGCGAAGAAAAATGTCCGAATAGGCGAATACTTCATAAAACTCCCCCAATGGAAAAACTCATTGATCAATTAGTGCATCCATCAACCTTTTTGACAACAAAAAGATATCTATGACCACATTGAAATCTTTTGTTCATGGACATTATTAATCATTAAAAAAACCAAATAAGAATGGTCTGGTTTTTCTTCCAATTAACTTTAGAAGGGTTAGGACCGTTAGGTGTCACATACAAAGAGAAAAAATGGGATTAATGATGTTGCACATGGAAAGAATTGGCAGGCAAAAGAAGGTGGGGGGAAGAACAACAACGGAAAGAACAGGTATGCTTATGGAAAGAATGGATGGGTCCTCTATTGTTTTTTATTTACTTGTTTTATTTCTTTTGGGGAGGGGGAGGTAATTATTGACATTGAAGTAGACATGGGTTAATTGTAGTTTTTCTGACTATATTATTTTATATATTTATTTTGATAGCCAGCTAGAGAAAATTTTATTGAAGAACCTACTGACAAAGTACAAGAAAGATAGGATATCATTCTAAACAACAAAAAAAAAGAAAGAAGTGCACCAATAAAACAGTGAAAAACTACAACTCAGACAAATAAACCCAACCATGCTAATGTATACAGTATTATAGTTCCCTCAGCACTAAGCTTCAACCAATTTTCCATTAATATTCCCATGTCTCAACTTATTAGAGTTTCCATCACAATAATAAAGAGCAAAGGAGGAAGGACCTCCTGGTCTAAGTTCATTTGAACCTCAATACAAAATTTTCCACTAACCATAACCAAAAATGACTTCGATGATACATACACAACATCACAATCCTTCTCCAACTTACATGAATGACCCAATCAAAAGATTGTTATCTCCCACAAATGCGTTTTGGCTTCTTAAAACCATCATACCACAACCTTATTCAACCTCAAAGCTACACCACTGCAATGACTGCCTTTCCCTTGAAGAGCCTGTTTGGGAATGCTGTTGGACCATTTAAAAACACTTTTACTTTACAAAATTGCTTTAAATGTGTTTGGTAACTATAAAAAGCACTTTTAAGTGGTAGAAATTTTAGCTCAGTAGAGCTTTAGAATGAAGCTAAAATTCTAGCTTTTAAAACTGCATTCTGATTGTTCAATATTTTAGGTAACTGTTTTCCTTAGACAATTTTATCCCTTCTTATTTTTTATAAAGACAATTTTATCCCTTCTTATTTTTTATAAAGACAACTCTATCCATTCTTTTATAAATTCCTACAGGTATAAAATATAGTAACTCTACATTGAAAGTCATTACTGTAAAATTAGTAATAAAAGTGCTTTCATTAGAAGGCATTATTGTATAGTTAGCAAACACTTTATATAATGTATCACCAAACACATAACATGCTTTTTACTAACAGCAATTTTGTGGCAGCTCTACCAAAAAAGGCACTTTTTTCATTACAATAAAAATGCCAAACGGGGCTAAAGTCAAACAAAAGTCACATTTTACATTCTATACATGGAACTCAAAGGACACTTTCATGCTTCAAAAAACACTTCTAACGAAATATCTTTCTCATCCCATCTGGATTGAGGCTTCTATCATTTAGAGGAGAAACATTCTCTACAACATAAAAAAATATCTTATAGAGGATAAACATTCTTTACTAGAGAATCATTGGAACTCCTTTTTTGCAAGAGAATTTGGGCCATTTAAGGTTGGGGATACTGTGAAGCCACTATGAAGCGAACACTGTCCTACCTTTCTCCAAGCAAGCATGAATTGAATGGTACACTACATAAAAGATTTCCATGAAGTAAACTCCAGTAGAATGACCAACTTCATTTATAAAGGATGATTCATTGACTCTCATGGATGGATAAAGGCCAGGTGTGCAGTTCCTTGGCCCTATGGTCAACTTTGTTGTGACTTGTGAGATTGTATGTGGCTTGCCCTTAATGGCCTGCTCTTTAGGTTTGAAGTAAAAATGGGCTCTAGAATCGTCTTATGCTGAGCCGACATCATCATGCAGCAGTTCAAAAATGATGAATATCCCAATTCGGTAGCCAGATCTGAGTTTCTCTTCCTAGTCATAGATTCTCCTTTCTTCCTTTTTTTTATTCTTTTAAATGATGCACTGTCCTTCTGCAGGCCGTAACTCCTCCCTTTTGGTTAAAATTTATTTTGCCCCACCCCCCCTCCCCCTCCCTCCAAAATATATATATATATATATATATATATATATATATATATCTAACAGACAAGGTAAAAGAAGGACATTTCAAAGCTAGATGTTGCAAATGGCATCATATTGTGGTTTCAGCATAACAACCGTAAGCCAAGGATTTTGACAACAAATGATGCTATACAACAGCTGGAAGTCCCTTTCAGAAAAGAAAAAGAAAATAGAGAAAAGAATAAGGTTATGCTATGAGTTTCTGGTGACCAGCAACTATGGGCACAGTGAAAATGGAAATAGGTATATACCTTGATAGATTAAACCTTTCTCGTGAAGCCTAACAAAGGCCTCAATTACAGCTCCTGCAACAATTAAAAAACCATGAACTCAGAAAAAGTTTGAATATAATTCGTTATCAAAAGACAGCTTTAGAAGCATTTAGTAGAAAACAGAAAACTGTATCAAATAACTAAGAAACTGCAAGCCATGGACGAGCATAAAAATTATATTACATAAAAAACAATAAGATATTAAATTTATTGTACCAGTGTGAACTCCAATACATCCATTTAAGGCTGACTGAAGTTTTACTAGAAAGGGCAAAAGTGTGCATGCGTGTGTGTGTGTTTGTGACTTAGGTGTGTGAGTATATTACCTAATAAAAAATTTTAAAAAAAAAAAGTTTTACTAGATAGAAATCTGTCTTACGACTTAGCTGTTCATCAAGGGTGAAACGTTCTCTGCTCCAATCACAAGAAGCACCAAGTCTCTTAATCTGATTTGTAATCGTTCCACCATACCTCAAAATAACAAATAGAACATCTAAGTACAAAAAATATAATCCGATCTGTTGCAACCAAATTAGTAGCTTATCCATCTTATGTGCCAGTAATTCTGCACAACAAAATAAATCATTTCTAGGATTATGGGAAGTGTGCTATCTGCCAAATTTGTCAATTGAAGAAAGATGGAACAGTAAAACAAATACCTAAGGGTGTTTTTGAATTTTTGAGCACAAAACGTTGTGTTCTGATTGCAGGTGGCTATAGTTTACCTCTTTAAAAATGTCTTGAAACTCCCTCAGTCTTTTATAACAATGACATTGAATATAGAAATTTATTTAATCAAGAAACATGGGGGAACTGGATTATAGTATAAACACAATGTGAAACACAATATGAAATGGATTTGCAACAGCAATACAGTTCATGAGTTACAACGGCAATACTGTTCATGCTACAGTAACAGTTATTAGGAGGGATTTTATTGTCCCTTTCTTAAGAAGAACTTGAGATATTATCAAATAAATAAAAGATTAAAGATTCAAGGATAATATATCCTTCCGGGGGACACTTCGAACAAACTGGCCTCATGCTTAACCAAGAAATCTGTCTCCTTGATTAGCCGATCCTTGTGCCCAAGCAATATAGGAGGCCACATCTTGAGAAATGTTGATGATTTTGATGACTTCATGCATCCCATGAGCATAATATGAAGAACCTTGCAGCTACTTTCCATCCAATAAATTAAAACACTAGCATTTTCCTCCATTCCGATGTTGGTGCAACCTTTGCTCTTAACATTTTACAGCCCAACAGTAAATCCAGGACTTCAGCATTTATGGCATAATCCATTGCACAATTAAAAGGCAAAGAGAATTCAAACAAAAATTCCCCAACTTCATCCCTCCTGCCAATGCCTGATTGTCCTGGACTGCCCAGGGAACATCCATAAAAAATTTAACTTGACGCTTCTCCTAATAAGTCATATGGTTTTCCAGTCTTTTGTAATAAAGTCCATGGAACAGAACTTTTTTTTTTTTTTTTAAAGTAAATTTTATTGAATAAACCGCTCAAAAGGGAAGCGAAACCCAAGGACAAAGCAAGGCCAAAAACACCTCAAGCCTTCAAAGAGAGACCAAGAAAACAACCAACTCCTCTACAGATCTAAAATCTCTCCCTGAAACCCAACAAAAAAGAGTGGAAAGAATAGAGAACTTAAGCATAGAGAAAGGCTTTTCCTTTCCATCGAAATATCTCTGGTTCCTCTCAAGCCAAATACACCACCAAACACAAAGAGGCATAGCCCTCCAAGCGTCCCAAATGACAGCCCCCACTGAAAATCCTCTCCAAGCCTCAATCAACCCTCTAGAGGATCTAGGCATAACCCACGGGATCCCAAACAACCCAATCATCACAGTCCTGAAACAGTCCATGGAACAGTCCTGAAAGTCGGTGCTGTTTGATAACCCAATTCAGCACTTAATTCGGAATGAATTAAGTTCAAACCAATTATGTGTGTTTGATAATGCATTTTGAATATCATTTAAAATATAAGTCCGCTTAAAATGTGGCAAAATTTTAAGTGACAATGAGTTCACTTATCATTTAATGCTGAACACTTAAAATTCAAAAAATAAATTAATAATAATCTCAATTTACAATTACTGCTTAAAATTCAGCTCTTATAATTTTCAGTTTCATCAGATAGCACCATCTGATTTTCCCTTAGTTAGAGAAAATTGAACATCTAATGAAACTTAGCTAGAACAGCCGATTAAGTAATATCTATCAGCAGCCAAATATGCAACAAACTTGGTTGAAGAAGTAATTTATAAAGATTTGAAAGAGCAACAAAATATTTTTCGAGAAAGCAATATTACAGGATTTTAAAGGATTCATGAATGTAAAGACATCTAGCAGCAAGGAGATCACAATAAGTAATTAAAAGCGGGATAAGTGAATATACTTCTCTTTCCATTCCCAAACTCGATTTTTGAACTCTTCTCTACCCAGTTCAACCCTTTTTATTCCTTCAGATGCCAGCATTCTTTCCACAACCAACTGAAAGTAAGAGAAATTACCTTTGAAATAAATCTTTTTAAGAATAAAAAGTAAGTTTGGAAAACTGATTGATTTCATTAGCCACATACTTTTTTTTTAAAGCAAGCGAGAAATAGCACTATAAGAAATGAGGACAAAAACCAGAGACATGAGACATTAGCCATGAACTTGTAAAATATAAGCTGTATTACATATTAGATGATTTTTTTTTTTTTTTTTTTTGCTAAATAAGATAATATTTAGATGAAAATTATTTCACAAAGAAATGGAATTGATAAATTTCTCATCCAAATCAGAACATTTCTGCGTCATGGTGCCACAACTCCTCTTATCATTGACTTAGTGTCATGAAGATCAGGTACCAGGTTTCCATATTAGTTTAACTTTCATTCACATAACAATTTTTGCTAATGTACTCCATGTTACATTTTTCATAGCTACGTATGGAGAAAAATAAATATATTATCTGATTAAGCAATTACATCAAATTTGCAGCATGCAAAACCTATATTAGAAATTATGGTATATTACCCTCAGACCCCCTGAGGTTTTCACTTTTCACCCTCAGATTAAACTTTGGTCAAAAGTGTGGTCAACCTCCACTAAGGCTTGTATAAAGTAACAATTAGGTCCAGTCCATTAGTGCGCCGTTAGCTCCCTCTGAACTTTTTTTATGCAATGCCAGTACCATTCACTGTAGTGAAATTACATATTTACACATACTTAGTATGTGTAGCAGTCCAATTTTAAGTATGCATACCCGTACCCAACACACTTGCCCGAGTCCATGTAACATAGGTGGGGCATTATGGACATTTCAATTTGAACGTTTGCTTACACTGACTGTAAGTAACTCTGCCAGGGTCTCGGAGTGATTTTGGTCTAAGTTTAATCTGGGATTGAAAAGTGAAAACCTCAAGGGGTCTGAGGGTAATTTACCCTAGAAATTATTACCACGATATTTTAAACAATCAAAATTTAACCCAAAGAATGTGCAATAACATCATTCCAAAAAACTATTGTCTTAAAATTGAAGTAGCTCTTCAAGAATTAAGTAGACAAGGTTTTGACACGTGGTTGGCAGGAAAAAAAAAAAGGTGCGGGGTAGGGAGGGAAGATATTGAAGTTGAGAGCTCGAAAAATGAATACAATATATCAATAAACTGATCTGAAATTATAGCTTCTAGTAGTGGTTGCAATTGTCTATATCAAGGTGCCATAACTCTTTGACTGATGAGGTATGAATTTGGTCAGTAGCATAGCCATAGTAATCAAACTTTTGTACTACAACAATTTTCTTTAAGATACTGTATTTCACAATTTTCATAAGGATGCATTGAGTAAAACGGAGAAGAATGAATATATTATTTGACTATGCAATTAAACCAAATCTGCAGCATGCAAGAAGTAAACTGAAAATTACTCCCATAAATAGTTTAAAACAAAATAAATTCAACCCAAAAAATAAGAATTGGCATCATTGCGATATTAGAAAACAACTATTCTCTCTTGAAGTTGAAGAGGCTCTTCAAGAATCAATTAGGCAAGATTCTGATACCATTAGTGGTTGACAGAAATTCAATGTGGCACACAATATTGAGGTGGGTAGCCAAATAATGAATAAAACATATAAATAAACCAGCCAAAAACTATAGCATCTAGATCTACAAACAAACCTGAGTTGCAATACCAGCATGATCAGTGCCAGGAAGCCATAATGTAGGTCTCCCCTTCATACGATGGTATCTAACCATAATATCCTGGTAAACAAACCATAATTGAATAAAATATGGACATCCTTTTGTTGAGAATGATCATGCAGAAAAACCAAAATATCATCGTTAGCTAAAATACATAAACACATGCTGCTCATTTTAATACGTTATATATTATGTAAAGCATAATGTATGATATATTATCGTCTTTTAAGGTATACACAATTAAAATTAAATTAAATAAGATATGGTGGAAATAGGGGGATTCTATCTTAGAAGTTTAAACCTTCCTTATTATCAAATTTCAGCGTCTTCTACTTCAATTATCATACATTGAGGATTGGGGTGTCTCATACGGGTTCGTGTGTCAGAGAGGTATCTGTAGCCATGGCCATTACAATCTCATCTAACTTCAACATGCGTATGTGGAGGGAAAAGGGAGAGTCCATACAACACAGGATGACAGAACATTCGACTTAAAGAAACAACCAAATTCCAACTCAGAACAGAGAAGTGAAGAGGAATCAGTACTTTCATGCAACAAGTTGCAACAGACAAGCAGGCAACAATATCAGGTTTACATTACAATTCTGAATTAGAGTCTCCAATCAACAGAACTTCTAATCAAACACAGCAACAGCAGTAGTGACTTTCTAAAACTGAGTTGCCAAGTCACCAAGTGAAATTGCTAATTTAAATTTTTGTCTGAATCAGAGTCTTTAATCTAAATCAACATGACTACTTAACAGATATATCAATAGCAGCAGTGATAATCTGAAACTAAGTCACTGAGTTTTAAAGCAAAATTCCAGTCAGACATATTGTGCCTCGAGCTGTTTAAAATTCAAAAGAAACTGCAGACCTAGGGTCGAACCAAGAGTTACTGATTCAATAATAATATAACTAGTAAAATTGACAAGATTGAAATGCAACCAAAAAAGTGCACTAGATGGCTAAGCAAAACTAAAAGAAAACCAAAAGTCCAAGGATCTCAGAGAAACAACAAAATCCTTGAAAAAACCAATGCTCCATTTATTGTTTGATTGGTTTTATTTAAAGAAGCTCTTCCAATGTCCATCAGTTTCTTCATCCTTCACAAACCAATCAATCTTAACTTCTATGCACTCAGCATGATCAGTGTATTTACCTTCTCCCTTATGTTGCCTTGGCAAGTTCGTACATGACTTTTCCTATTTTTTAAACCGAATAGTAGTAATCATTAAATTTTGTCTTCCATTTTTCTAGAATCTAGTGTAACTTCTTTTTTGACAATTTTCTATTCTGAACTACTCTCACCCTATTCCTTTTGCCAAAATTGTGTAAGAAGAAATTTATTTCCTCGTGTGTGCAAGTGTTCCACCAAGTTTCTTTAGATGATGGTCATTTTTAAAAGATTCTCCAAGAACCTCTTCCACTAGCCAAATAATGCAATCAGCAATCTCACAAAACATCGCACCACTTCTTCTCTAAACTAAACTCATCAAACCATAATCCCGTCTACTTTGAGTCAGTTAAACATTACTTTCCTTAGATTCTAGTTTCCTACATTGAACCATAGATCCTTAGATTCTAGTATCCTTTATGGAACCATTCTATCTATTAAGCATACTTTCTCCTATCAAATTCCACCTCATAATTCAGACTCCTTAAATATTTTCTTTTCTTTGCAACTTCTAACTAAAAACAGTGAAATTAGTTTATCAAATCCAAAGTACATTAACCAAGTACAACTAAGACCTCACTTAAGACTATAACCTAATAACAACTGTTCAACATTCTTTCAACCATTATTCTCAGTTTTTTACATCAACTAAAGGTAATGAATCAACTGTATCATTCACCTGATCTGCCCAAGTGAGCACTCAGAAAATTTAGAACAAGTTCATTCACATCATTAAAACGTAACAATCCACACACAAGATAACAACTGATTGCACTTGGGGCAATGACGCAGCTCGTGAGGTTCTAACTGAGGCGCGTCAATTTCTGGTTCAAAAAATAATAACTGATTATAAACAAAAAAATAAACTACATTTTTCTCTAATTTGTACAGTGGAGGGTGTATAGTACGACTAATCTCTTTGAATTGCAATCTCCCCCAACCCATGGGTATCAGATAAACCCAAGAAGGTTTTTGACGGACCAGGAACTTAGCGCAAGACTTCTGAATCATGCATAGAGACCTTATGCCAACTCAGCTACCCCGTGGGGGGTTAAGATATAAACTACTTCACAATAGAAACTAAGCAAATTTGTGATGCACTAAACTAAATGGCAATGATCTACCAGCATTCATCTTAGTCAATAAATGACCAAACAACTCAAGAGTATATATATAATACTTGTCCTGGATATAAAATCTAGCAATCAGAAATATGGCTTTGATATGGTCCAGATAATGACTAGCAACAACCTAGTAAGAAGTTAAAATTTTGTTTTTCGAGCAATCAGAAACCACTTTACCCAACCTCAAGAGTCACAAACATAGCATGCCCCATGTGCAGAGAACCAGTAACATTAGGAGGCGGCATTGAAATTACAAATGGGTCACTTCCCCTGTCGAAATTTGGCTTGAAATACCCTTGAGACTCCCACCTAACAACCAACACTTACACATTAATGCATTATATTTATAGATTATGAATTGAAATTTTTTGCAGAAGCATTATCAATTTTAACATGGGAGAAAACATTCCACACAAAAACATTTTTTTGCAAGTAGGCATGTGGTGATTTGCAAATGCAAGCAGCACACTTGTCAACAGCATATAGGATGATGAAAAATCCTTCCAAAATAAAGCTAAAAGCCAATTGATGGAAAAAGTACAGAATAAGAGACACGGGGGGGGGGGGGGGGTTTGCCTCAAACAATCCTCCACCTCCAAAAAAAAAAATGACCTCAGAATTTATAAACAGTAACAGCTCTTTTAACTGCCAAATTTTTCTTCTACATTGTTTTATTTTTCTAACTTTTAAATTCAAAAGGAGTTCTTAGCTCCTCTACAACACCTAATCCAAGTGGAGCTCACTATATACTTATATAGGTTTGAGCAAGGTGATAGCAGAGGATGATCAATCAGTTCTTATCAGTTGGATGAATTTAGGGGTCAAGGGTGCTTGGCAACAAAATCATTGTAAGCAGAAATTTTGAGATTTAGTCAAAACATTGGAAGCAGAGTTTAAACAGAAACTAAGAAGGCCAATCCAAAAAGTGATGGATTCAGATAAGATGGGGCCAACTTCTTGTCGACTAAAAGAGGGTCAATTACTCATCAACAGTTTAGGGACATCTCAGCAAACCCTATGCAACATGGTCATGAACACAACATGACAAATTCTAAAAAAAGAAGTACGAAAAAAGACAAAGTGATGACTAAGGACACAACAAAATAAAATGTGTCTATGTATATGTAGTTTGGATGAATATAAAAATATGGTTCATTGAACCAAACTTCTACATTAATAATTTCGTAATTCCAAAGATGAAGATCAATAGATATCGTATAAACAATTTCTTTTATGCAGAATACTCCTTTTATTATATCTTTTTTTCTCTACAATTATATTCATTTAAACACTAAATGATTTTTGTTGCACGCTACACTTGTCTTTGCCATGTGCATGGTATTAATTTTTCTTATAGAAAAAAATATATAATAGACATGAATGGAAAATTTACAACATATTTTTAAGTGTTTTGCACAACACCATCACTGATCTTACAACTCATAAAAGGTGGTTACACCTCATAGGACATTCCACATTACATTAACTCAAATTTGTATGTCAAATGTATGTGTCTAGAAGTCCAATTCTATGACCATGTTGAAACAAATAATAAGTCAAAACATAATTAAAATCAAAAGACAACAGTAACAAGTTAGCTCTGAAGATGAGGTACCAATTATATATCCGTTCCTCAGAACCAAAATCAAACGACTTTGCAATCTCTGGAGAAGTAAATACACCATTCTCTGATGCAGCAACTGAAATTCCATACGAAATAAATACATCTATAATCAAAATCAACCGCAATGTAAAAGAACTAGTTAATGGTCTTCAACAATTAACTAAAGACATCGGAATGTAAAAGAGCCAAACAACAACAGCAAGATCTAAATTCAAGGTTACGTTTGGTTGCCAAGAAAACAAATTGAAATAAAAATAAATAAATAAAAAATTGCAAATTTGAGAATTTGTGGAGGAAAATTAAAAAATAATAATAATAAGTCTTGAACAATTATCCGGCAGCATTGAGTTTTGGGTTTACTTAGCAACTAAAGACATCCAGAACTAAAGACATCGGAACATGTAGAAGTATAGGTTTCTTACTCATTTTCTTTTCCTCGATTTTCTCGGGAACCAAACAACAACAGCGAGATCAAAATTCAACATTCCTTTTGGTTGCAACAAAACAAAGTGAAATGAAAAGAAATGTAGAAGTTTAGGTTTGTTACTAATTTTGTTTTCCACGATTTTCTCAGGAACCATAAAAGAACAGAAGATCAAAATTCAAGACTTTCTGGGAAAACAAGTAGAGTGAGCGATGAGTTTATAGCATAATTACCAGCGAAGAATCTAGTTTTCAACAAGTTGAAATGCAATTGAGAGAGTCGAAGCCCAGAGCGACGTCGTTGAGAGGAGAGAAGAGGATTGAGTCTGTGAACAGAGCAAAGCGAAGGGTTTGCCAACGCCATTGAAGGGGTTGGAAAGTGAGTGGTTCGGAACTGAATATAAAACCCCAGCCGTTGGAGATAGTATGGGTTTAGTGGCGTAGAGAGAGGAGAGAGACCTCTGAGAGAGATTGTTTGCTGAACTGGGCTTTTGATTAGTTGAGCCCAAGCTTAGAAAAGTATTGAACTGGGCCTATAAATCACAACTAGTCCATCCCAATAAGGTTATATTATCGAAATCAGCCCAAACTAAAGAAAAAGAAAAAAATAAATAAATAAATCTGACTAACAGTTATGGTAGCTAAATTGTTGGTGGTTTTGGGAGTTTCTAGCCGAGAATCTAATCTAAGGTTACTCTGGCATGCTTTGGAATCAAACTGCAACTATTTCTATATATATATATATATATATATATATATGTTTGTATAGTTAAAAAAATTAACTCGAAAGGAGGTGGCTTAGAGATTACTTTTTACATTCTCCTTTCTCAATAGGTGGCTTAGAGAGAAACTGTGATTTCCTGTAATTTTTTCTTCTTAGATAAAACACAAGATATATCCTTTATTAAAAATGACCTAAACAAATCAAACACTCATTTACATATTACTCATCCTCATTATATCGCAGGCATTTGACGTCTACCAAACAATTCACGAGATGATAAATGTGTGGCAACATATATACATATCACTCATAGATCTAAGACACATATAAATAGACAAATGATAGAGATACACATAGAGACAGACATACAGATAAACATGCAAATATAGATGAATAGAGATACGAGTAGATATTAACACATTAGATACCCCAACAATAGAATTCATAATATCAAATTATACTCCATATTATTAGTTTAAATTATGCATAATTTTAATTCTTCTAGGAAAATAGCCTTACCCAATTTTTGTTATTACAATATATATAGTTAGATTATTAATTTCAATGTAAAAAAATTTAGTTAGTTCTTTTCTGTCTGGTTGGGTCAGAATGGGAACAACCATGTTACAGAGACTCCAAATTTGGAGTGTGAAATCATCTTATTTAGATTAATAACTGCAATGGTGAGTAAGATTAATGTGATTTATTGAGAGCAAAATTAGGGGGGAAAGGAAAAAAAAAAATGATAATGAAGAAATATATGACCACATGTAAAGTTACTATCAGTGATTAAGAAATATGCTGTACAAGTAGATTAATTTAATTTTTTTATTTTAAAAAAGAGCATTTTAATTATCTCGCACTGAAAATTCCCTCATTAAACTGTTTGAAAAGAAGACAAAACTTTGTTGACCCCAAATAAAATATCATTAATTTAATATATTTCAAGAAGTCACCTTAAAAGGAATAACGACAGACCAAGACCTTGGTAATCATCAACATTTATGCATTGCTTATCCTCACATTCATTTGACTTCCCATCTATTTTATCAAATAAATTGCATTTTCACTAAATCCGATATCTTTTAAAGCATTTATAGTGTGTAACGGTCACGATTGTCTACTTTTGACGGCAGAATATATGTATATTATCAAAATAAATTCTACAGATTTCGACAAAACACAACAAATACACTTGACGTGTGGCAATCAAACGTGTAATCGTTTAAAATCTAACAATATGTATCGTAGACATTTAAGGTGTGGCAAGCAGACGTGTCTTGGAGTCATTTACATGATAGTGAATGTGTGTTAAAACAGAAAAATTGAGATAAAAATAGACATTGAAACGTAAATAATGGAGATGAAGATAGATATTGATATTGATATTAATATTAGAGTAAAAATTCTCATAATGACATATTTTAAGCACTTAATATCAAAATATATATTATAAAAATAAATTATATTGCACATAGACAAACTCAACATATGTTTGACTTCCGGTAAAATACAATACAGACACTTGACGTGTGGCGTAATCGTTTGACGTCTGACAACATGTATTGCACGTACTTTGACATGTGGCAAGCAGACATGTCCCAGAGTCTTTCACATGACAGTGTACGTGTGTTAAAACAGACAAATTGAGATAAAAATAGACATTGAAATGTAAAGATATTGCGATAAAGATAGACATTGATATGAAAGTAAAAATTATCGTAAAGACATCTTTTAAGCACTTAATATCAAAATATATATTATCAAAACATATTATATCGCAGATAGATAAACTCAACATATTTTTAACCTTTGAAAAAACATAATACAAGCACTTGACATGTGGCAACCAGAGTAAACATTTGATTTCTGACAACATGTATCACAAACACTTGACACGTGACAAACAGATGTGTCCAGAATCTTTTACATAACAATGAAGATAGACATTGAAACATAAGTATATAAATAGAGCTAGAGATAAGCACGCATAGACAAATAAAAATATCAACTTCAGTATTTCCCATGCTAGATTTGATATGAGAGTAAAAGTTATCATAATGTTTACGAGATGCATCAACAGTGAATAGATTGATAATACTAAATTATACCCATTATTAGTTCTTCTAACAAAAATGAATTTTTGTTATGACAAAAAAAATTTAGTCACATTTTTTATTTCAGTGTAAGAAATTGAAGTTAGTTCTTTTTTGTCTTGTGAGGGTCGGAATGAGAACAACTTTTTATACTAAAACTCAAAAATTTGGAATTTGACACAATCTTATTTAGATTAGTGGTTATTATTATTTTTTAATTAGACTAATAACTTCACTAGTGAAGAAGAAGAGTAATGTAATTTTTATTGAGAGTAATATTTAGGAAAAAGAAATAAAAATAAAAAAGACAATAAGAAAATATATGACCAAATGTAAAGTTATTATTCAACTGGGAATGCAAGTGATGGAAGGAATTTATAACTTCGAATGTGTCAAAAATTGTTGGTGGCTTTGGGAGTTTCTAGCCGAGAATCTAAACTAGGTTACTCTGACATGCTTTGGAATCAAATTGTAACATTTCTATAATATATATATATATATATATATTTATTTATATATGTTTGTATAGTTAAAACAATTTAACTGGAAAGTTAGATTATTTTTTACATTCTCCTTTCTCCGTGGGGCTTCGAGACAAACTATGATTTCCTTTAATTTTTTCTTTTTAGATAAAAGTAAACACAAGATATGTCCTTTATTAAAAATGACCTAAACAAATCAAACGCTCATCTACTTATTACTCATCCTCTTATTAGATCTGTAATGTAATGATATACCGTGTTGCAATTATTTGACGTAATACGTATAACTCCAAGCAATTGTTTGGCATTTGACGTCTGCCAAGCAATTCACGTGATGATAAATGTGTGACAACAGATATACATATCACTCACATATCTAAGACACATATAAATAGACGAATAATAGAATCATATAAATATAGACAGATAGGGATAAACATGCAAACATAAATTAATAGGGATGTTCATATTAACACATTAGATACCCCAATAATAGAATTCATAATGCTAAATTATACTCCATATTATTAGTTTAAATTATTCATAATTTTAATTCTTCTAGGAAAATAGGCCTTACTCAATTTTTGTTATTACAAATATATATATATATATATATATATATATAGTTAGATTATTAATTTCAATGTAAAAAAATTTAGTTAGTTCTTTTCTGTCTAGTTAGGGTCAGAATGGGAACAACCTTGTTACACTGAGACTCCAATTTTGGATTTTGAAATCATCTTATTTAGATTAATGTTTATTTATTTTTAATTAGACTAATAAGTGCACTAGTGAGTAAGATTAATGTGATTTTATTGAGAGCAAAATTAGGGGGAAAAGAAAAAAAAAATGATAATAAAGAAATATATGACCACATGTAAAGTTACTATCAGCGATTAAGAATTATGTTGTACAGGGAGATCAATTTATTTATTTATTTTTTTTTTCTTTTTTTTTAAAAAAAAAGAGCATTTTAATTATCTTGCACTGAAAATTCTCTCATCAAACTGTCTGAAAAGAAGACGAAACTTTGTTGACCCTAATCAAATATCATTAATTTAATATATTTCAAGACTACCGTCCAAGTCATCTTAAAAGGAATAGGACAGACCAAAACCTTGGCAATATCAACATCATCATCATCTATCCATTACTTATTCTCCCATTCATTTGACTTCCCATCTATTTTATCAAATAAATTGTATTTTCACTAAATCCGATATGTTTTAAAGCACTTATAGTGTGTAACGATCACGATTGTCTACGTTTGACAGCACGATATATATATATAATCGAAATAAATTATATTTTACTAAAATTTCGGCGAAACATAACACATGCACTTGACGTGTAACAACTAAACTTGTCGCGTAATCGTTTAATGTCTGATAATATATATTGCAGAAATTTTACGTGAGGCGAGCAGATGTGTCGAACATGTGTTAAGACAGACAGATTGAGATAAAAAGTAGACATTGAAACATAAATAGATTGAGATAAAAATAGACATTAAAACATTAATAGATTGAGATAAAGATAAATATTGATACGAGAGTAAAAATTATCATACCGACTTGTTTTACTTTTAAGCACTTAAAATCAAAATATATATATTGTCCAAATAAATTATATTGCAGATGCATAAACTCAATATATGTTTCACGTCTGGCAGTAATTATTTTGATATCTGACAGCATGTATACCAGACACTTGACATATGGCAAACAAATGTGTCCCTGAATTTTTTACATGATAGTGAACGTGTCGCAGGTTGGAAGACAAACTGATTAAGATAAATATAAAAATAGACATTAAAATGTAAATAGATTGATATACTTAGAGATAATAATGTATAGACAGATAAAAATATCAAGTCAACTCTAGTATTTTCCATACTAGATTTGATATGAGAGTAAAAGTTAAGACACCTCAACAATGAATAGATTGATAATACTAAATTATACCCATTATTAGTTCTTCTACGAAAAATGAAATTTTGTTATGACAAAAAAAAATTAGTTACATTTTTAATTTCAATGTAGGAAATTGTAGTTGGTTCTTTTTCGTCTTGTGAGGGTCGGAATGACAACTACTTTTTTCTACTGAAACTCAATAATTTGGAGTTTGACACAATCTTATTTAGATTAGTGGTTATTATTATTTTTTAATTAGACTAATAAAGTGAGTAAGAAGAGTAATGTAATTTTTATTGTGAGTAATATTAGGAAAAAATAAAAAATAAAAAATAAAATAAAAAAGACAATAAGGAAATATAAAACCAAATGTAAAGTTATTATCATGGATAAAGAATTATGGTGTACAAAGAAATCAAATTTTTATTTTTATTTTTATTTTCATTTTTTGAAAAAAGAGCATCTTAAATATATATATATATATATATATATATATATATATATATATATGGCAGATTTTAAATCTCAAATAAATTTCTTGAACCCTTGACTTGTCGGAGACTCACAGATATTTGGCAAGATGTGGCATAGTTACTTGACATCTAACAACACGTATCGCAATCACTTCACGTCTGTCAAGTAAACATGTCGTATATATGCATACAGCAATATACATTAAAACATAAACAGGTTGATATAGAGATAAATATGTAGACGTAGACATAGAGAAAAACTATTTTGGATAAACATAGTCAACTCCAATATTTCCATGTTTGTCTTGATGTTTAAGATCTATCTCAACAATGAGTAGAATTGATAATACTAAAGTATGCCTATTATTAGTTCTTCTACGAAAAATGACTTTTTGTTATGACAAAAAAAAAAAAAAAAAAAAAAAAAAAAAAAAAAAAAAAAAAACATTTAGATTTTTAATTTCAATGTAAGAAATTGTAGTTAGTTATCTTTTGCTTGGAGTTCCACATATAAATCTTATTTAGATGAGTGATTATTATTATTATTATTTTAATTAGACTAATAACTGCACTAGTAAGAGTTGTGTGATTTTTATTAGAAGCAATGTTAGGAAAAAAAAGAAAATAAGGAAATATATGACCACATGTAAAGTTATAATCATGGATTAACAATTATGATGTACAAGGAGGTAAAAAAAATTAATTTAATTTAATTTTTTGAAAAAAGAGCATCTTAAATATATCTTACACTGAAAATTCTCTCATTAATATGTCTGAAAAGAAGACAAAAACTTTGTTTAGCCCTAAACAAAGATGATTAAAGAATCTAATATATTTCAAGACTACAGTCCAAGCCACCTTAAAGGGAATAACAACAGGCCACAGACCTAGAGCATCAAAACAGCATCTCTCACGATCACTTGCTTTATATACATCCACATTTGTCCCACTCAACATCATCACAGAGCTCTTCTTCTTCTTCACCACACCTCACAAATCAATGGCCTTCCTTGCAACCATCCCTAACAATGAAAATTCTTTTCTTCTCAAGAACTCAATCAATGGTCTCAGAAACCCTACCAAAACCTCACATGGCCACCTTAAACTTGCTCCCATGAAAATCCAGGCAACCCATACTGCACACACATCTTTTGTGGAACAAAAACTACTCGAGAAATGGCTAAGTGAACCGGTAAGCTACCCGGTTCCTGAATTCCAGTTCGGAGCATACATGACAACAAAGGCGAAAAGAGTGAACAGAGCACTAGATGAGTCAGTTCCGTTGCAGGAGCCGGTGAAGATCCACGAGGCAATGAGGTACTCCCTTCTTGCGGGCGGAAAACGTGTGAGGCCAATCCTGTGCATGGCTTCCTGTGAGTTAGTAGGAGGGGACGAGTCACTCGCGATCCCAATGGCCTGTGCTGTGGAGATGATCCACACCATGTCACTTATCCACGACGACCTCCCATGCATGGACAATGATGACCTCCGACGAGGCAAGCCTACGAACCACAAGGTTTTTGGCGAAGAAACTGCTGTTCTTGCCGGTGATGCCCTCCTGTCCCTTGCCTTTGAGCACATAGCTGCTAGGACCGTAGTGTCACCGGACAGGGTGGTTCAGGCCATTGCTGAATTGGGCTCTGCAGTTGGCTCAGAAGGGCTTGTGGCAGGGCAAATTGTGGACCTGTGCAGTGAGGGGAAGCTAGTGAACTTGAGTGATTTGGAGTACATTCATGTACATAAAACGTCCAAGCTTTTGGAGGCCTCTGTGGTATGTGGGGTTATAATGGGGGGAGGAAATGCTATTGAAGTAGAGAGGATGAGGAGATATGCTAGGTCTATTGGACTGTTGTTTCAGGTGGTTGATGATATTCTGGATGTCACTAAGTCATCGGAGGAGCTCGGAAAGACGGCCGGGAAGGACCTGGCAAGCGACAAGGCGACGTATCCGAAGCTTATGGGTCTCGACAAGGCTAGGATGTTTGCAGGTGACCTGGTGGATAGAGCTATAGAAGAGCTTGGATACTTCGATGCTGCCAAGGCTACACCATTGTATCATTTAGCCAACTACATTGCTTATCGACAAAACTAGTTCATATCTTTTTTTTCCCGGAATAAAACTAGTTCACAGTGGTTGTCTGTTGCTTGTCCCATAAAGGAATGTATTGTACAATAAGGTTGAAAGAAACATTTGCTCTGTGTCTACATGTAATAGAAATAATCTTGAAATTGTCTAGAAACTATTTGACCACGCAAAACCTCACTTGCTTAAACAATTGTAGGCCAATTCGTAAGTTATTCTTCTAACTAAGCTTGAACAAAGAATAATATTAACTCCACCTACTATTCTGACATATATATGTGTGTGTGGGCGCGAGCGCGCGTCTGTAAAGCACGCAAGAACTAAGAAGTAACATAAGTCTTGGAATTCATGGGTGTGGGGGTAACGAAAAATGAATTAATATAATGCATCAAAACAATTGGCATAGGAAGTATCGCACTGGATTTCAAAGTAAAAACACAAGTCAAACAAGAATACAAAGTTTCACATTTACATCTTAAAGAGAAATGTAGAGCTGAAAAATTACTGGGTAATAACTACAGACCGATTTTAAACCATCACTTTTGGTCGCCAACCCTCAATCACATCCTCTCGCAGAGCTCGTGTCTTGATGAATGAATCCATGGAGAAGATTGTCTGAATGTCACAATAGAACATGGTTAAAAGCAACCGATAAGATGGATAAAAGTTATCCCATAATAAGTTATTTGCATAACTGGGACAAAAATAAATAAAATATGCCTCATTCAATCATATTGAATTTTTGACGCGACATTTAACACTTACTAGTTAAACATGAATATAAAGGAAGGAGTTCCACCAAACATATATAAGCATATATAAATGTGCATATACTCTGTGCAGTGGACAGCAGACTCGTAAGAAGAAATTTCTAATCAGCTGTGAATGGACCAACACCTTCCCCCACTTGAAGGGCAAGAAAGTGACCCTAGGTTTGCAAAGGGCAAATTTATTTATTATTTTTTTTTTTCCTTTTACTGAAAGGTTGTCCCGACTAGTTGTGTGCCAGGAAACCAACCCAATTCTCCTGCCAACCTGGCAGATTCCAGAAGTAAAAACCTGGAGATTGGTTGGGGAAGAGATCCAGATTTTTTAAAGATTCGGAGGAATAACACTCTCATCCAGAGGCTGAAGCCTGAAACTCCTCCCTACCATTTATGTAACCACAACCTTTAGGTTGTTAAAATTTTAAGTTTCACCATTTTCTTCCTATTTTTTACTTAATACACTAAGAGACCTTCCAACCCATTCCCCATAACCACCCACCCAACCAAAACACCCTCGAAGAAGATTTTCTTATTAAGACACTCTGGATTTAACATTCACAGCTCATAACCAAAACTAATTTGCGAGATATCAAAGAAGCATGCCTATGTATTAAAGATTGAGATCACAGGTTCACAGAAGCTCAGTTACCTGCAGTCCATGTATCGTTCATAGTTGACAGTGCAACATATAAAACCCCTGATTAGCTGCTGGATCAGATTTATAATTACCATTTTACTGGTTAGAAGAAAAATTAAGTCATTGAAGTTCTCATTCCCGAAGATGAACAAAAGAAGCTTGAATAATTAAGACCATGAAGGAATGCCTTCCTTGTAGCATTCTAAATAGTTTTTTTTTTTTTTTTACTTAATCTCATTTTATCTTCTTGCCAAGAAAGAAGAAGAAATAATTGAATGCACTAAACACAAAAAAGAGTTTCTTTCAAACTAAGAATATAAGATAAAAGTCTCCTAAAACTTCTTAAAGCTTCGATAAGATCCATATACTTCTCTCTCTCTCCCCCACTTTATATTATATAGTAGTGACAATTGTTCAGTGTAACAGTGGAAGCTCATATTGTGAAACTTGAAAAAGTAGGTTTAAGTCTTAAAACCGGCAGCCACTTCATTCAGATAATACAAATGTTCTACAGAGTTGCCCCACCCCACAGCCAGTGTTGGGGAACAACAACCCTTTATCTATGAACCTAAATACGCGTGTGCATTTATATAAATATTTAATAGGCCGAGTTCATGTAATGTTATGAATTGTGGTGAGATTTCATCTCTCTCAGTCTGCAACTCCATTAAGCTAGTTCCGAACATGGCACGAATTTCTTTATCAAATAAAATAAGGATACATCTGCTAAATATCCTTCTTCCACCTGATTAGCTGGTTTCTCTCTTTGTTCTTAATCTTGATCCCACATTTATCAAGCTGGTTCCGAAGAGATTCAATTTTAAGCCTAAAAAGCTTTAGCAGATTTTGAGACAATACAAGCTATTTAAAAAGTAAATTGGTCTATATCAGTTTCCTATGCATTTATGGCTGCCTTGCAGGACATCCTCAGACTGGACATCAGAAAGCAATGAGTTCACAAACTTCACGCAGTAGGTAGATTAAAAACAAAAGCATCATTGCAACGTAAAAGTTAACAAAAATTTAAGGCACGCCATGTTGAATCAAGTAGCGTAACCAAACTATGCTCTTTAACTAAAAACCTATCATTCTTTTTGCAATGAACATTAACATACACATGCTTTGCAAATCATGGACTATAAATGGAAAAGAATAGATTCTTAAGGTTTGACTTATACTTGACGTACCTTCATGTAGGATTTTACATAGGGAAGTGAATCTGGAACCGACCAATTCTTATAATGGCCCAAAGAAATCTCTAGATGGTACAGCTTTGGCCCAAGGGACAAGTCTACAGCAGACACTGCTTTTCCATTCACAAATGGTCCCTTCAAGTAACAAAATCAGAAAGTATTGTATTAGATACTATTTTTTATTTTTTGGATATATTTATATAGAAATATTTATAGTTTCTCTGCACATGAGACTGCAACAAGTGATTATATTAATAGAGAGGCACCAAAATGAGAACTTCCAAATTCAAGCAGACAGCACATGTTCCAGAAACTGAAATTGATTGGCCCAAACATACCACAGCTTTTTATACTGTTTAAACATATTGAGTAAGCTTCATCCATTAAGCCAATATTTATTTTCAGAATACAGAATGTTTTACTTTATACACTTTTAACATGGAATTAGAAAGAAAATAATAGTAGCAATAGCAACAGCAACACAAGGAGCCTCACATTTTCTTTGATATAATCGTCGAAAGCAGTCAGCTCGTCAAGTAATGCTTGCTCCGTTCCATCATTGGGGTCTTTACTTTTAAGGAAACCAATAAATGTGGAGAAGATCTTTGATCCACTACAGGAATATATTTGAAAAAAATGAGACAAGTTGCTGCTCATAAATCCACACATGTTATTCTGCAACACTTTGGAAATGTGATCTGACTTAAACCTTGAAGATACAACATCTTGCAAAATTATACCAAAAAAAGAGTACTCGCCAACTACTAAAACATAAGAGACTCACAATATCAATAACTGTTAAAGCAGCTTACATATTCTCTAAATGTTTTATAAGATTTATTTATTTATTTTTGATAAGTGGATTTAAAATTCTAATTTTTAACTAAGGTTACAGACTTACAGTCCAAATATTAAACCGAAAGACTAACAAGCTGAAGACCAACCCTTCATGTCTTACACTCTGTGGAATACCGTCCAACTTCTCTCCGGTATTGGCGGGTTTCCAGTATTTATTGCTGAGGTGAGACCTTAACAGGTCCACAACTTGTTTGTTCACTCCTCCCTCGAGACTGGATTAAATTCCTAATTCATTTAACTATATTTGCATAAATTGATTGAACTCAAAATTACAAGCACCTTTTCAAACTTTATAGTTCAAACTTTTATCAATTAAACAAGCAACCACTCCTAAATTTTAATATAATGAAGACGCATGGGAAGCCTTTGAACTCTATTTAGGGATCAATGGGTAGATTGGCGGAAAACGTACTTTTTAGTTTGAGGTTTCACAATGTGGGTCAAGTGGGCCAAAACAGTACCACACGTGACCTAGAATATGACTATGGTGAAGTGTTTAGGGGACAGGCATAGGAAAACCGTTGAAGGGGTAGAAAATTTTATTTGTCTCTCTAAACATAAAATTGGAGCTCTCTTTTCCAAGGTTATAAAACTCCTCGAATTTGCTAGATTCTTCGGTAGAGTTCTTGCCAAAACGAAAGTATACTTTGTATGAATTCCTTCTATATTCTTCTTGTGTATATGGATGCATCCAAATGATATTTATCGAAAAACTGGGAAGATTTTGAACTCTTATACAACAGCTTGTGGCATCTAGCACACATCAAAATTATGAATTCCCTCTAGTTGGGGATATAAATCAAAAATCTCATCCCCTAGAACTTTTTCCTACAGTAAGTAAAACTATATGCATTTTGTGGTGAACATATAATATACACCCTTTAATGGAGGAAAAATTAAAGAAAATAACATATGACATACACTGAAGTCTTCTCAGGTGGTGTTCCCAGAGGTGGTTCAGGAAACTTCTCTTCAAGCGATTGTGTGATAACATCTGAATCTGCAATCCACTTCTCATCAAGCTTTATTATTGGAACTTTACCTTCTGGACTTATTTTTAAGAACCTACATCCAGAAAATTGAATAAGCAACCTGCAGTTCGAAGGGGTATTTGAATATAGCTGAAAAAAGATAAATTAATAAGATTTGGCTCAAATGGGTTACTCTAATTACTACCATTCTGGCTTGTTGGCCAAATCAACCAACTTCACGTCATAAGGGAGGTGCTTCTCCTCTAATGTGAGTAGAACTCTCTGTGTAAATGGGCCTGGAAACACAATCTTAAAGAAAATCAACAGGTGAAGAAAAAAAAAACCATTGCTTTAAAACTAGCACAGAAACTAGTGTATTGCATTGCATCCTTCTACTAACTCATTTCCTAATTGAATGAGGGGTAACATACATGCCAATGCAGTGAAAAAAATTGCTTTTTGATTGAGTGAGGTTTGAAGGAAACACAATTGTTGTAAACAATAAAAGAATGTGAATTTAAGATGGAAATTAATAAAATGAGATTTTCATTAAATAGTTGACATTTAAAGAAGTCTTGTTAAAGGGGTATGGATTGGCAAACTGGATAAAAAAAACTAAAATTTGATATCATTTGAACAAAATGGTTGCCTTCATCCAATCCCGAGGTTATGACAAAAAAATTAATAAAAAAGAAAACTATTGTTTAACGGGAGAAAATCCAATTATTATTTTTTTTTTTCAATTTTTTGCTTCATCTCCCTTATCTTTCAGCACCATTCTCTACCCAACAACCAAATTGAGCAGATAATGTTCTGGGAACCTCATCAGTCATCTCCAGTTCCTAGCATAAGCATGAAAAATCTAAACTTTTAAGGCTGCACTCACATGGTCCAAAAGTATTTTAATCTGCATATTCTCAAACAAATTATGCACTTCCATTCTCAACCCCTTTTTAAAATAATAATAATAATAATAATCTTGCATTCACTTATAAATTCGTTAAAGAATCAAAGCACAGCCAATTTTTTTTTTTTTTTTTTTTTTGATAAGTAGAGCACAGCCAATTTCACAAGCCTCATTACTAGATTAAACCATTACTTACAGTAACCACGTGAAAGCAAAATGAAAATCATGCACAGGGCTCCAAATTCTCAACAATTAACAGCAATAACAATAATACTAATCAATTCAGAGAGACAGAGAAAGTAAGAGATAAAAATTATTCATATTTAAATTTCAAAGAAAAATAAAAAGAACTGCAAGACTGCAATAAAGAACAATACTACAAATGTCACAAACAACAAGCTAATTAACCTGGAAGCTAATTGCTGAGAAGAAAAGAAGAGAAAAAATAAACAAAATTCTCAACCTAACAATCATTTGGGTAAAAGTTTATTCTTCTTACCAATACCATTACCACTAATAAGAGCATAAATTCAAACCCATCTATTCTTTCCTATTTTCTCCCATTTTCTCATTAACCGTTTCTCTCAACCTAACTGCCATTTGGGTGAAAGTTGATCCTTCTTGCATACTTGATTACCAATAATAAGAGCACAAATTCAAACCCTTTTTTTCTTTCCTATTTTCTCCCATTTTCTCATTAACCGTTTGTCTCAACCTAACAGTCATTTGGGTGAAAGTTTAAACTTCTTGTGTACTCGATTACCACTAATAAGAGCCCAAATTCAAACCCTTTTTTTCTTTTCTATTTTCTCAGTAACCAAAATAGGCATATTAAACTCATTTGGGTGAAAGTTTATCCTTCTTGCCTACTCGATTACCATTAGTAAGTGCATAAATTCAAACCCTTTTTTGCTTTCGCATTTTCTACCATTGTCTCATTAACCGTTTGTCTCAACCAAACAATCATTTGGGTCAAAGCTTATCCTTCTTGCCTACTAAATTACCAAGAGCACAAATTCAAACCCTATTTTTCTTTTCTATTTTCTCCCATTTTCTCAATAACCAAATGGCATATTAGAGACATTGACAGTTGCCGAGATTGTTGGGGGTTGTGATGGAAGCTTTGACGCAGACTTCAAGAGGGTTGGAGACTGAAGAAGACGACATAGTCCCGGTGAGGTTTCTTCTGAACCATCATTACGCCTCAAATGGCCCAAACCGTTGGTCAAAAAGGAGTGATTCCGAGTAATTGGTGGTTGCAAAATTCGTTAATCAATTTATGGTGGTTGCAATCACATGGTCCAACAGCAAAATTCTCAGGCAATTTATGCACTTCCATTATCAATCCATTTCTTTTTTCTTTTTCTTCTTTCCATGTTTTCAGTTCTACATTCATTAAAAAATCAAAGCATAGCCAATTTCACAAACCTCACTACTAGATTAAAGTTTAAACCACTACATACATTATCCACAGGAAGCAAAATGGAAATCAGGCAAAGGGCTCCAAATTCTCAACAATTAAGAGCAATAACAATACTAACCAATTCAAAGAGAGAGAGAAATTAAGAGATAGAAATTATTCGTACATAAATTTTATGAAAAATTAAATAATGATAACACTAAAAATGACACAAAAAAACAAGCTAAATGACACGGAAGCTAATTGCTGAGAAAATTGATGAAAAGAAAAGGAAGAGAAAAAATAAACTAAACGTCTCAACCTAACAGCCATTAGAGTGAAAATTTATCCTTCTTGCGTACTCGATAATCACTAATAAGATCACAAATTCAGACCTCTTTTTCTTTCCTATTTTCTCCCATTTTCTCATTAACCGTTTGTCACAGTGTAAGTTTTATCCTTCTTGCATACTCGATTAACAATAATAAGAGCACAAATTCCAACCCTTATTCTCTTTTTCTAATTTATCACATTTTCTTAGTAAACAAACTGCAAATTAAACTCATTTGGGGTGAAAGTCTACCTTCTTGCCTACTCGATTACCAACAATAAGAGCAGTTAATTAACCGTTTTCTCATTAACCGTTTGTATCAACCTATACAGTTAATTGGGTGAAGGTTTATCCTTCTTGCCTATTTGATTACGACTAATAAGAGCATTAATTCAAACCCTTTTTCTCTTTTCTATTTTCTCACATTTTCTCATTAACCAAACGGCATAAACAAGAGACTTACAGTCGCCGAGCTTGTTGGGGGTTGTGATGGAAGCTTTGACGCAGACTTCAAGAGGGTCGGAGACTGGAGAAGACGACACAGTCACGGTGAGGTTTCTTCTGAACCCATCACTGCGCTTCAAATGGGCCAAACGGTTGGTGGAAAAGGAGTGGTTGCGAGTGAATTGGTGGTTGCAGGTAAGGTGTTTGATGGTTGCCGAGAAAGATGGTTGCATTCTGGCGGTGGACATTGTCTCTCTGATTGGAAGTGTCCAGAAAGCGAGCTTCGAGTGGAGTGTAATCTTTACAACATATTGTTAGCACTTTTGTCTCTGCGTTTTATATCCGCACGCCCGATTTTTTTTTTTTTTCCCCAAATATAACTTCAAAAATAAATATGGTCTATTTTCATTTCTGTTAAAGATATGTAAAAAGATAATTTTGTATCTGAATATATCAAATTTATAAATAAAAAGTAAATAAATAAAAAGACTATAATACCCCTAAATACACTACAAATTTATAATTATAGATATATCAAATTTATATATATATACCGAGCAGGAATCTAAACGAGAACTTTTGCAATAGCAAAATTTCAGCAACCTCCTAGACAAAAAAAATAAATAAATAAAAATAAAAATGGAAGGTAAAATAGCCGCGCACATGTATATTTCCTGGTAAATATGAAATTTTGGGTGGAATAGTTTTGTTGAAAATGAAAATATGAATGTTACAGCAGTTAAGCTAGCAATTAATTTGAGTTGGGTTAAATTTTGAGTCCCGCTACATAAAGGTGAATTGAAAAATGAGTAATAAAATAAAATAATGTAATGTAATGGAAGATGAATAATGAGAAGAGTAAATGATAGAGAGATTGATGGTATAAGAAGGAATAGAAGGTGAGAGACCTGTCGAGAGATGGATTGATGAGCGACCTTGTAATTCCCGTGAAGGACGTAAAGACCCAACCCAGACGCCACCGCTGCCCTGCGAAGAACAACGCCAATCTCACTCGAAGAACGTAACCCATGATTCCTGTCTTCCTTTCCTGAAATCAAAGATCAAATATCCAAGTTTGGCTAAGTTCAATTTTCTTAGGTTGTTTGGAGAATTGGACAAAATTTTTGGGATATTTTAGTCGTTTAATCTAATTGTTGCGGGCAAAAGAGTTATTTTGACAAAGTTAAAGGGTATTTACGTCATTTTATATCGTGTCAGAACTATTCAACTAATGGTTGGGGAGTAAGTGAAGTACGGAACAAAAGTTTATAATGTGAGCTATAATTATTTTAAAAAAATATTTGAGAGTGATATTTGATCAAACATATCAGTAAAATTAACTCATTTTTTTTTACTCTACAAAAGTTTGGATCTTTTTTAGTGCATTTATGAATACTTTTTAGTATTAAAAAAAATAAAATAAAAATTTTAGTTTAATTAAATCTGGAATACAATTCATGGACTACAATATTTTTAAATCGAGATCATAATAACAATGAATAAAAATAGTGTTATAATGTAAAAACTTGATATAATATATCATTTAAATGTTGTCTAGTCAAAATAAATATATTGCATGAATGTATGCAGTATTACATGAATGTTGTATTTTTGGCAAATTGCCCACATGTTTTAGTGTTGTTTTTTTTTTATTTTTTCTTTCTTATTATTATGTTTTTATTATGATTATTATAAACTTAGATTTCTTAATGTTTGGAGAATATAGAAATAGTGGTTTTTCCATCATGATTTTAGAATATTTAATGCATTACCAAGTGAAAAGTGTGGATTCACCTTTATATCATATGTTTGTTTTTTAACGCTCATCTCATTTAATAAATATATTTTCCTAAAATTAATCCCTAACATTTTTTTTTTACTTTTCTTTCATATCCTTCTACTTTTGAAAAGGAGACCAAAATTATATCCTTTTAGTTAAATTTATAAAAAATGATATATTTCTTCACTTCCATATTAAAAGTTCACATCTGTGATTTATAAGATTGTGAGTGACAGTTCTCGAGATGAATTTTTAATATGGGACAAAAATATTATATGATTTGTAAGCAATTGGGTACATCCAAAATATAAAAATTGCAAACAATGTGAGAGTCAAAATGACTAGCGGGTAAATTGACTCTTCCTTAAAGTAAAATATTTATAATTTTAATTAATTCATTTATAACTAAAAGCAAGAGAAAATAATTTATTTTAGTTGGGGTTGGTGGTGGTGGGGAGTAGGGTGTGATATTTTACAGATGAGATCATGAGAGTAAGAAATTTACAAAAGGGGTTCAAGAACCCCAAAGCCCACTGTCAAAGCCTATTGGGCCTACAAAAGAACAGGTCCATTAGGGCAATAACAAAATGTACAATACACAACCAACGGAGCCCAATTTAACCCAGTCCAGACAAATAGTCTAGTGTCTCCGGTCTACAATATATAAAATGCATATATTGAGTGATTTACAAACGTCCAACTGGTTCAGTTACTCCCCGTTGTTTTTGGAGTCACGCTTTTAGCCTCTTATAATAAAATATAACAGCCCAATAGCCCACGTAACAGTCTCATTTTGAGTTTGTCTTGCTATTGTAATATTTCATTAAGAGGGAAAATCTAGGTAAGTCTTTAAGGTCTTAAGGTCTCGTTTTCGAATACTTTTAACTTAAATAATGCGTGTGTTGTGTGGTTGATACACGTGCTCTAATAAATAAATAAAAAGGGACCAATTTTTTCTTTTCTTTCAATTTTTTTGATGTTACTTTTGGGAGTATCGAATCAACTCCATATCCAAAACACCAATTCGATACTTTCAAAATATTTCATATACCAACCAAAAGTATAATGAAAAACTAATTTTTCTTTCTTTTCCTCTCAACCAAACGAAGTGTTTAGTTGCCTAGCTATTCCATTCTATTCAGTTTGTTCGGAACAAGACTGAGATGGTGATACAACTATGTCAACTTAAGAATGAATTAAGAAATTATATGATTTTTCCTAGACCTAGACCTAGTCCTGTTTTGATTGACCATATTATTTTTCCTTAAAATGTGATAGTGTCACAATTGAACCTAATATAATATGTCCTAGACCTAGTTGACTTAATCTGTTGCCATCCCAATCTTGTTCAAGAACTCCTAAATTGTAAACTGAGATTTAGATGAGTACTAGAAGAAAATCCAAATAGAGGTGCATTGTATTTTCCCACTATCAATGCACCAAACAAAGTTTATATATATATATATATATATATATCAATAAAAAAAAAATAAATAAAAAATAAAAAATAAAAAATTCAAAATTTAGAAACAATCTTCCATCAATTGATAACTAGTTCTTGTGTCTCAGCCGGCAGCAACTATTGATGCAAACCAAGTACATGCCAATAAGCAATTGAATGATAATAAGTTCATAGTGTTTACAACTTGACATGGTTGTAAATGATAAACTTTTGAATCTAAAAAACTATTATTTGCCAGTTTTACTCTCTGGGTCAGAATGTTAATGTATGAGATCAGTGAGACATTAAACCACTACCTTGATAAAGTCCCGGAGTACTGGCCACTACGTATTTAATTAGGTCATAGTGTCTTGTTAAGCACTCAATCTTAATTAACACCACAAACTCAAATTCCTTAATCACTCTCACATGCCTCAAGAGACAATTATTTTATCTCTCATTTATCGAACGATGTGAGGGGCGAGTTTAGTGTAATAGTAAAATTGTCCCATTATAATTTAAAAGTCACGAGTTCGTAATAAGATAACACACTTGGCATGAAAAATTAAAACTGTGTAACTCTCCTAAACTCTACCATGACAATAACGCGTTACATCCATCAGATGGAATAGTACATAATATCGGTATAGCGGCCCTCTACTCTCAATTGGTTGATTTGACTTTCAAGTTTACTGTAACAAGTCTGAGGACTTTGATGGCACAAATGTTTTTTATGGGTCACAAACCACCAAACAAGCATGCATATTCTAGGAAGCTAGTGTGAAACACTGTGGGTCATAAAGAATTGTTTGACCAGATGTATAGACAAGGGCGGATTTATGAATTGTTACTGAAGTGGGCTAATATTTTTTTGAATGCGCTAATACTATTAAGTATAGTAAAAAAAATTTACGGGTGGGCTTGAGCACACTCGAGCCCCCCTGGATCAGGGGGTACGTATGGGCATCTAGAAGTTGTTCTTGTTTGGAACATTCACCATGTTTGTAATCCACAACTTCTGCACTCACCACGAAATTATGGTGTAAAAGTGCAATGCTGCAAAGGGTAGCCAAACAGTTTTTTTTTTCCACCATTCTAGAATTCATTATCACAATTTTCAAAGTAATATAGATGCTTCTGCTGAAAATGCCATCCCCAATCATAAATTATAGTATATACGTGTTGAATACTACTACATGGACCCCCTTATCAATGGGCTATTATTTCAATTTTATTATGTATTTTAGTCGGGCGCCGTTTAAAAATTTAAGAATGCCATGCGTAAAAAATATATATTACTAGCAAATTTAGAATCAAACTTAAGCATATCATTGAACTTTCGTAAGCTATTATTTTAATTTTAAAATGAATTTTAGTCAACGGACTATTTAGAAATTTAAGCATGTGATGATGCGTTATTGTGTTTAGACCTTGCATGTAAGTATATATATATTAGCAAATCAAGAATCAAAGTAACTAAAGCATATATATCATTGAACTTTAGACACAATTAACATTCATTGAACTTTAGACACAAATAACATTTTTTATTTAACTAAAAAGTTAGAAATCTTAGCTTTTAAGTTTTGGATTTAATGGTGAACGAGTTTAATTGAAGGTTTGAATGCAACAATAAATGCGCAAGAGTTTTCTGTTAGTTTTTCTTCGACCGGGAATGGGTCAAGAATGGTCAAGTTCTTAGTGCTTCCACTCATTTTTGAATTGTGTGCGATCTATAATTATGCAGTGCTCCACTCAAAAGACATCAAAAGTGGTCCAAAACGTTGTTTTACTGGTTTAAAAGTTAAAACAGACATCTCCAATATTTGTTTCCTAAAACCTCATCCTAAATTATTTTGATTTCTTAAACACTTTTGTCATCTGATTATTAATTTTTTTAAAAAATAATAATAAAATTATCTTTCTCGTACTTCAATTTAATTTCTAAGAGTAAGATCCAACCTAAAATATGATTTAGGGCAATACCCGGAATAAAGGTAAATATTTGGACACTAGGAAAAATAGCGAGTCTGGATCCTTTGCTATAATCATTTCGGGTTAGTGTGCTGTAATTTTTTTTGACACATTTGTTCTAAAATTTCAACAG